GCGGAATTATATTTTCATCGGTTGCGTAACCCTGTGTGGAAACTACCTCGTCTGTCGCTCCGCACGAAGCTTCAGGTCTTCTCGGCCACAGTCATTTCCTCCCTTCTCTACGCTTGCGAAACGTGGACCCCCCTCTTGGAACATCTTCGCCGGTTAGAAACATTTAGACTGGCCTGCCATCGATCCATCCTGGGTTTAACCAGGCTGGATTGTGTGAGGATCTCACAAATCCTCGAAAGATCTGGACGAAGTCCTATCGGTGAGCTCCTCCGGCAGGCAAGGCTGCGTTGGCTGGGTAATGTAGCCCGCATGCCCAGCCCGCATGGCTAAACAGCTTTTGTTTGGCCGGGCCGAGGGGGCTAAATGGGCGCTGCACGGGCAAGAGAAGAGATGGAGTGATGTGGCACAGGAGGATGTGGAGCTGAGTGGACTTGCCGATGACTGGTACCAGCGGTGTCAAGATCGGCCTCTGTGGAGGAGGCTCATGAAGGACGCTACTAGACAGTTGAAGGCAGTCGCCCTCCAACAACAACGGAGGGCGGAGAAGCGACGCTCATAACGAGCGGAACACCGGGTGGCTAAAGCACAGCAAGTTGGCACAGTAGAGGGCACAGGTGGTGTCTCAGTGAGTCATCTCAGTCAGTCGACCCGTGGCACCTGGGTCTGCCCCGTGACCTGCCAGCGGGCGTTCGACACTTCACGTGGCCTCAACGTGCACCTAGCCTGGCGCAAGCGTCGTGGCGACGTCACCGCCACTTAGTGGCGAATGGCGGCTGTTGTTGTGTGCGTGTTCGTGTATGTTTGTGTGTGTGCTTGTTAACAGCTCTTGCTCCCATCGTCTGTTGAGGCTATACGGAGGATCTTTGTCTGTGTTTGTGCGTGTTCGTCTATGTGTGCGTGTGTGTGTTTGTTCGTGTGTGCCCCTGTTTGTTTATTTTGGGGGAATTTGAGGATACGTGTTACACATTCAGATAAAGCCGCTGCCGTTTCGTGCACGGGCGAGAGGCTGGAAATTGGTTCCGTCGGGATCACTGGCACAGAGAACGCGGAACAAATGCTGAGAAATTCACACGCGAGTCCGTGGAGCCTTTCCCACTCTCGCGTGCGATAGCAGCAGCAGCATTGCGGTTCAGGAGCCAAATGACAATATCGAGGACTGCTTGCCCCGACGAGAGGGCTTTCGGAGATAGAGAGTTCGTGTCGTTTTGCTGTTCCTCCTCCGTTGAAGGATCGCAGACTCACAGTGGTTGGTACTGCACGGTTCATAACACGTGGATCTCGGGATGCGCACTCAAAGCAGAGATGACACAGGTGTCGACACAGTCGGAAGAAGCGAGTGGGGATTCAGTGGAACGCATCATCATCATCGATCATCGCTGGACGATGTCCCGTGGACGAGACTGGCGAGGGAACGGCAGCCAAAGGAGGGAGGAAGGGGAGGGGGGTCGGAACCCGTCCACGAGGTCCACCACCGCGGAGACGGAGCGATGAGATCGGTTCAGGAGATGGATGGCAGCGGCAGCAGCGGGCCGCGAGGGGTGACGGTGGCGTGGGGAGCCCTCCATCCAGCAGTGGATAGAGCGTAGATGCTGCTGGTTGTCGTGATGGTGGTGGTGGGGTGTTGGGTCGGCGCCGTGGAGTGCGGGTTTCGAGATTTGAATTCAGTGCTCCCTCCACGCTCGCCCCGCCGTGTGATGGATGACGACGACAACGAGATTCCACACTCACCCCCCTCTCCCCCTCCCACCATCAATACACATTCCACAAAATCTCCCAAACGCGGTGGGAGTCGCTCAAATTGTCGAGGCAAAATGGGAAAATAATAAAACTCCGATAATTGGTTTTCAGTCGCTGGCTCGACCGTGTTACCGCGTTTATTTCCACTCGGGGAATTTTGTCCCAGCAGACGGACAGTAACAAAAAATAAGAACAACAACAACAGCAGCAGCAGCAGCAATATCGCGGCCCCAGCGCTAAATCGAGCGTTGTGTATTCAACAAACGCGCAGCCGTTCAGCAGAGCGTCGCGCAGATTCGTGTCGGGTTTTACGGATGAACGCCCCTCGCCCCACTGGGGTTCATCTGCACACTTTGCCGGGACCGCAGCTGCCAACACAATTTGACCCCAACGCATTCGACCTACTAATTGGCCGGCGGCGGTCAACCCGGTTGGACTGCTGCGTGGAAGTTGGTGGGGGGGGGGGGGGGGGCGGTGGGAGAATTCGGATTTGAGAAAGTCGACGATACCGTTTCAGGTTCTGGCGCCCGGAGATGGGATCGAACCGGCGACCCTCTGAATTGCAAGTTCGGCGGTGCTGACCATTGTACCACTGGTGGAAGCTCGCTGTGATGAAGAGTCGAACGTTTTGCACCGAAGTCATCGTTTTAAACACTAATAATGCAAACACAATTCAACAGCATCGCCTTCAATAACCGCTGTTGTTTTAATTAAATCCCTTCAGTTTTGCTGATACGGCGTAGATTCTTCCTCCCGGGTGGGGCCGCATACATTTGAACCGCACCACCGCTTCGTAATTGCCTCCGCCCCGAAGAGGAGCTCACTGACTCCACTGCTGCTGCTATCCCTGAGCTATCGCTCCAGACAAGGTCCCGGAACAGGGTCCGGTTGTTCGCACGGCCCCAGCGGCTCCGTGTGTCAGACCCCTCCGCATCAACCAAGGCGCCGTGGTGATGGACGAGCGCAGCGAGAGGCCCTCGCTTAGCCACGGGCTGCCAAGGCGGGCTCCGTCCGCCTGGCCTTGACATCGCCGTGTTGCGCGGCGGTCACGCGGTGGCCCAGCGGTAGCGCGCTCGCCGCTCGTTGCAGAGGTTCCCGGTTGGAATCCGGCAGGTATGCCCTGGTCAATGAACCGTAACGATAACACGACGCGCGGTCTGTGCTTTGCGCAGTGCACGTTAAAGATCCCCCTGGCGCCGTTCGCAAGAGCGGGCCGTTGTGTGCTGGGATCATTTGGCAATTTAGAAAAACATTGTTACACCGCAAATTTCTCAATTGAGAAACACATAGCAAGCATCGCCCCCTACTGCCAGACTCATGCCCGATAGCAGGTCTAAATAAGCCTGTGCGGCACAGAGACAGCTGCCACTTGGGGTGCCCTTTTAAGTGTTGAGATGACGTGACGATTTCGGATCGATCTGCAACAATTATTTATCTTTCGGATCAATCCGAAGTTCCGTGTCTCGGACCGGGATGAGTCCTAGAATGGGGAATATAACCCCGAATGGCAACAACGTTGTGCTCATTCGACAGTTTGGTATTCTGTGAATTACCTTTTCACTGCCATGGGGATGTGTAATTTCCACCGATGGCTAGGAGACCGCCCGTTGACGCGCGTGCTGTTAATTCACCGCGAATTGCGTCGTTGTTTTTCTCAGCGTCAGTTAAAAAAAGAAAAACTCGCGACCCTGGACGTGCCCCTAGTGAACCACATAGTGCTCGGGACAGACGCGGACGTGATCAACAGGACGTGCTCCTCCTGGGACGAGAGGAGGCAAGTGTCAGCGCCTAATCCGCCTCCTCCTCATCCTCGCCGTGGCACAGCGACCCTTTGTATGTGAGCGGTAATTGTTTGCTCCAGTCATTATCTTTATTCATTCGTTCATTAACCCGTGACGGATCCACGATTCCACATCGTAGCAAGGCAAGAGTCGAGCTGCCCGTGGCAGCAGTGGCGAGTGAAGTCCCCCAGCCCACCTCTCCGTGACGGACGGATGGATAGACGGAGCCAATTAGCCTCGGTGTGGAAGCGTCCGGCGACGCCGGTCGTTTAACCGTCAGAGCCTCGCAGAGCCACTGCAGGGGGTTTAGCAGTTTCACAGATCCCCGCATGGGCCACCAACCCCTGAAACCCAGCTGTGCGCAGCCGCCAGGCGCGTGGCTCGCCTTGAGCGGGCATAACTCTCAGCGAGACCCTCAACGCAGCGGAACAGAAATCACGCGCAGCTGCTGATGCTTCGCGAGCCGCTCCGAGGCTCTTGGTGCAATGGGCCACGAGAAGTGAATTCGCTGGAGATGATTGCAAGATAAACGCCCCCCACCACCGCGAGGCCGGCAGAAAGGGGTGAAGTATACGTTCGCCTTTTGGCGTCCCCTGGTCTAACACTGTTTGAGACGAGGCTCTAAAGAAAGCTGTCTCTGGTGTGGACCAATCAGTTTCGAAGATAACGCAGCATATACTACCAGAGCATTTTTTTATTTTTTGCCATATTCACCACAAAGTATGCAGACATGATTCCATGCAAAATAATTCAGTTTCGTGTTTTAACATCTCAACACAACTGTTTTATTGCCAGAAAGGGTAAAAACCTATTCTTATATTTTGATACTGGCAAGGGAGGTCCCATGACGGGTCTAGAATTTTTGCTCGTGTTGAGCCAACGCTGCCGCAATTATGCACTCTCAGAGCGCCGTGTGTTCGATGGGGGGATGTACCACAATTCTACTTGCACTGTTCATGTGGAGTGACAGATATTTGATTGGTCTCGCACGGTCCCACCTTAGCTATTATACGGGGTGCTTCAAAAACAATGTGAACACTTCGGAGAATTTGCAACGACACCACAAGAAATCTGCAGCTGCCTCCGGGCTCTGGAGACCACCTGGATAAGATTCCAGGCCACGTGTTGACAATGATGACGAACAAGTTGGAGACTCTTTGACTTTTTTTAAGCTAAAATAAATCACGACGTTTCGGGCGCATCACAAGCGTCCGTCATCAGGTGCGAATGCTTGATCTGCTGCTGAGGCAGACTGTTCTAAAAGGGTTTTTTTGTTTTTTTTAAACAGTCTGCCTCAGCAGCAGACCATGCTTTCACACCTGATGGTGGACGCTTGTGCTGCGCCCGAAACGTCGTGATTTATTTATTTTCTACCCACGTGACTTTACCGAAAGAACCAAAGAGTATGGATTCCTGCAGTCACGAAAGCTTCAAATCAAAATTTTTCAAGCTATTAACATACATTTGTTATCATGTTACAGTCTATGATCCGTTTCTCTTTCCATTAAAAACGATAGTCCCATATAAGTGTTTAAAAAAAAAAACGCTTGAATCACCCTGTACTGCAATAATCAGAATTTTAAAAAAAAGCGTCTGCTGTGTGCATCCATTGGTGGCGGGGTCAAGGACATGAAGGCGCCGCTCTTGATTGGAGCCCAGGACCTCACCGGTGCCGGCTCAGCGGCTCCCGCCACGGTGCCGACCCAGCGAGACCCGCGTGGGTGCCTCCGGCTCCATGGTTGAGCCGTGGACACGCTGCCGCCGGTGATTGAGGCGGAGGCTGCTCCCCCCACCCGCCCCGCGTGAGAGCCGGGCCGAGTCGCGCCCTGGGAGCAGAGACGCGCGCTTGGCCCTGACCGCCTCGCCGGAAGCCTGGAGACCGGCAGTCAGGGCGCAAATTTAATTAAAAAGCCAATCCTGGCAGCCAAACGCGAGGCCAGCGGAGTATCCAGGCAATGTATTCCAACGGCTCAATTCAGCAAAGTCCAGTTAAGCACATTATTTATTCAGGAATCGCAAGGATTAATGTTTTTTTTTATTAAGAGAGAGATATATATAAAAAAAAAATTTATCGTTGTACCCCCTCCCTTCGAGATCCGATTTGAGTCAAGAGGAGAATGGACGCTCTCCTCTTACACCAGCGAATGATGTCGCGTAGAGCGGCGCGCCGTTCGTCTTCAGCGGTCGCTTTGCGTTCCGCTGCCGCTCTAATTGCCGCTCGTCCATCACGGGCTGGGGGGGGGGCTTCTGTGAACGCTTCTGCAAGTCCCGCGTGACAAGGGGGGGGGGGGGGCGATGATTTTGTTTGTTTGTGTTTTGGTGTAATAACGGGCAAACCTAATTACGGACGACAGAAAACCGGCCATCGTTATTCCTCGCGTTATGAGCCGCCTCAGTAGCAGCAGCAGCAATATTCACACAGCGTCCAATGTAATTTAAAACCGTGTGTAATTACTCTATCTGGATTTGTTTTAATGTTATCATTTTTTTTGTAATCTCTCCTCGCACGTACGTGTTGCGTTCTTTCATTATATTCTGTTTTGTGAGGGGGGGGGGGGAATACTGAAGCAGGTGAGTCAATAAATATGACGATGAGCGGCGGAATTGAATAAAAAAACGAATTGAGGAAGGGTACGTGGCGATGCGACAATGGCTCGAGTTCCCATCAGGCGAGAAGATCGTGCGAGGCCGCCGCTGATCACCAAACTTGTGATCTGTGTACCCAGGACGGCCGAGCTATCGGGGAGGGGCAGGGGGCAGGAACCGAGAGCAGAAAGACGACGCGAAGCGGACGAGAGGGAGCGGTGGCGGAGCGCAGTGGGCGCAGCTGAGGTCGGTCATCGCGGACAGCCGCAAGCCGGGGCGAGGAGGGAATCCATTGGGGCCGCTGCTGCTGCCGCTGCGTGTGGGAGACACTGCGGTCATTCGCGAATTATACGGAGCGAGAGAAAGCCTGTTAGGAGGAGCGCGCAAGAGCAGCTTGGAGAGATGCGCGCTGGGAATCGCAACCGGGATGAGACGGAGAGAGGAGCGCGTGGAGTAGGAGGATCGCCCACGCGGTCAGGAGAAAGTGAGTGAGGCTTGGGCAGGATGCGTCCCGGCTGGAAGGGACGGCGGGCCAAGAACGATAACGGCGCGGGGCAGCCAAGGAGCGGAACGCGTCCGAGAGGACGTCCTGCTAGCGGAGATAGAGCGATGATATATTCTGGTAATGAAGGATGATGATGACTGATGACGATGATGGAACGACGGGGCTGAATCAACCTCGGTCAGGATTTGAACTCAGCGGCTCCCGCCGCGGGGCTCCCCGCTTCGAGACCAAATGCAACGCGACCGCATTCCCCGCGGCGACTTTCGTTCGACAACGCGGCCGCGTCGCGCACAGCAAACGGACCCTTAGCACGGCGGAGGCGTTCGGAGTGGGAGGGGGACACGGGGGAAGGGGTGGGGGTTGGCAGGGGCCACCCCGACCCCCCCCTCCCTCCAGCACCGCGTGCACGCGCCACCCCGAGACCCCTCCCCCCTACAGCCCCGCGTGCACGCGCCACCCCGAGACACCCCCCCCTCCAGCCCCGCGTGCACGCGCCACCCCGAGACCCCCCCCCCTCCAGCCCCACGTGCTTGCGCCAACCCGAGACCCCCCCCTCCAGCCCCGCATGCGCGCGCCACCCCGAGACCCCCCCCCCCCTCCAGCCCCGCGTGCACGCGCCACCCCGAGACCCCCCCCTCCAGCCCCGCGCGCGCGCGCCACCCCGAGACCCCCCCCCTCCAGCCTCACGCGCGCGCGCCACCCCGAGACACCCCCCCCCCGAGCCCCGCGCGCACACGCGCGCGCTGCTGATAAACTCCTCGCGCATCATGGACCAACCCGCGCGCAGCCTCTCCGGAAATTCAATGACGATTTCCATTCTCGGGGACGGCTCAAAGTTCCGGGGGCGTCGCTCTGATTGTGGAGCGGGCCTCGGCGATCCCTCCACGACAGCGTCGTTTGGCAGCGAGGTGGAACAAAGGGGAGGGGGGTGTGTGGGGACGAAGCAAGCCCCGGTTGTGATTCGTCATCGGCTTTCTTTTGTGTGGCGGACCGCGCGCGTGGAACGTCAATTAGGGGCCGCGCGCCTTTCACCGCCGAGCGATATTTTGTGACAATTCTCATTTTTAGGTCAAAATAGTTTCGCTCGCTTTTCACTTTCGGTCTGCTGCGGCGACCTGATTTGATTGTTGGCTCGATCTTGCACGCGGAGGAGCCCGGTGATGCATCGCAGCGGTGGTCGTGAAAGCCTCTGTGTCAAAAAAGAGTTGTCATTTTGGTCATCCCTTTAGGCACAATACAGTCGCGCGTTCAGCTATTTTTTGTGAGCTGGTGGTCTTGACAAGGCTGGCCGTATCGTACATACAACGTGGCGGTCACGTGACAGGCACGCAAGGAGTGGTGCCTTCATGCTGTTTGTGAGCAGCACACCATCGCGCGTTGCTGTTTCTACTCATCCGCTCGCTCTCCCATCGTCTCACTCACTCAAGCACTCACCCACTCGCACACTCACCCTCTCAACCACTCACCCATTCAATCGCTCACACCTTCGCGTGCTGTTCAGGCTTGCGCGCGTTTCCCCGTGCGCTCGCGGGCTCTCTCATCATTACCACGGCGAGTGCTGCCATTGAATCATTGTGGTGGTAATCCGTGGCCAAATAACCAACCTTCTTAACCGACGTGGTGGGGGCGGTGTGGAGGGGGGGGCGGTCGGGGGGTGGGGTCTGCATCCAATTAAGCATCCAATAAGGGCGGCGGGGGGGGGCATTGTGCGCTGCACTTGTAGAGGAGCACGCGCTCGGCTCATTGCAGGCGATCGCGTGGGGGTTGAGGGGTGGGGGACCACTCGACACTCAACAGTCACGGGCGCGTGTGGAAGGTGCCTGGTCTGTCGCTCCACACGAAGCTTCGGGATCTTCTTGGCCAAAGGTCGCGATCTCCCTTCTCTATGCTTGTGCCGGTTAGAAACATTCAGGCTTTGCCTGCCTACGATCCATCCTGGGTTTAACCAGGTTGGATTGTGTGCTGGCTGGGATATGTAGCCCGCATACTCGGCTATCTTACCATCGTGGAAGAGGAGACAAAATACCCTCTAAGGGTGGGGAGGGGGGTTATATATTTCTAAGGACCTTCCGCTAACAGTGGCATGACCAAGCACTTGCAGGGCTGCGCCTTTAGCTTTGATGAAAGCTATGACGGTGCTCATGCACGAGGTTGCGTCGGCCCAAGATTGCGAAACGAACTCACGGACTAAGTTTACCACCCAGCGGGTTGATTATTGGTCTGTCAAGTCGACCAGGATTCGAACTTGCGACAAGTGAGCGCGCTTTGCGAATATCACGTGAATATAATTCCTGATCATTCGTGTCCATCCTCGACTCACAGTCCTGAGCCAGCGGTGTAAATTTCACATTCGCATGGTGGCGGTGGCCAGTCGCGATATAACCGAAGACAGCTTTATTGTGAATGGATAATATTGGTCGCGAAAGCCGACGTGTGTGAAACAGCACCACCACCACTTTTGATCTTCTCCACAGAGTGGTACTCTTCTAATCGACCACGGAGGGAGCGATGATGGGTTGAGTCAACTCCTACCCCCCCGCACCCCCCAACCACGATTTGAACTCATAACCTTCCGATCGCGAGCCGCTGGCTCGGCCGCTGAGCCCCGTGTTGTTTGAGGTGGACACCGACGAATCCACGGCTCCTTTATCTCCAAAATTGGCGCATTCCGTGTGGGTGCAGCAGGAGAGGCATAATCTGCCTAACAGTCATTCATAACCCCCGCGCGCCCGGCTCCATCACAACAGGATCTGTCCACTGCCAGGATATTAAACCACCACGCCGTCCCCCTGCAAATTAGAAAGTGTCATTCGAGATCGCGTGTGGTGTGCGGGATGGATGAGAGAGGCGGCGGTGGGGACGGTGGCGGTGGGGGGGGGGGGGGCAATGGAGATGATTTCTGATATCATCTCAACAGGCCACAATAATGTCGCGCACACACGGACGCATGGGCAGATGCGAGTTAAGTGGCATTAACACCGAGAGACGGGAAGAGCAACACCCGCATTAGAGAACACGTGCAGACTACGGAGACATCGCACTGACCGCTAAGGTGGTTCGGACAAGTAAGATATCTTGGGTTTACGTGTTGGCCGTGTTCGGGAATCGGGACTCAAGTTGGCCGCGTTTGTTGCAGCAGCGCGATGCGCTCCACCGCTGCACTCCACCCACAGACTCGTGGCTATGCCGCGAGCGTCGATTGGCAGCCATCCTTCTAATCAATTGCTTGTGATGACTCCGACAGAGGAATTCATTATGAACACGAGATTATATTACAATTATGATAATAATAATCAGCGAGCGGGGCGGAGGTGCGCGCGCGTTACCTCGGCGACAACTCAATGAGCGCCCCCTCTTTCTAATGACACCGCCGGGGGGCGGGGGGGGTCTTTGACGCCCACGAGAAGCAGCCCGGCGTGTCCTATTTCAAGGTCAAGGCGACCTCGGCGTTAACCACGTGGGTCGGGCCTACCGGACTCGAACCGCGACCCTCTGCAAAACAAAAAAACAGGCGGCGAACGCGGCCGACCGCTCGGTGCCCGCGTCAGCGCCCCAGGGTGCACGCGAGGAAATAATTAGCGGCGCTAATTAAGGCACGCGCGCGCGCACCGCGTTAATAATTAGATAGGCGAGGTGGGGCTAGAGAGATGACTGGCGGGGGTGGGGAAGGGGGGGGGGGGCACTTGGGTACCGCGGCCGCCGCGAGGATTAAAGACGTAAGCCGGCTCTGGGGTCAATTCGTTATCCAATTGCAACATCGGCGGGGAGCGATGTCTCCCGCGCCCGCTCGTCGCGCTGGTAACGCGCCACCACCACCGCAGCAGCAGCAGCGACCGTGGTGGTCATGGGCCGACCCAATGCTGGATGAAGGCCACCCCAAGCCGCCTTCCACCTCTCACCATCATGGGCTGCTATTGTTTATTTATTTTATTTTTTACTGTGATTCGTTGCGTATGTCGGAAGAAGCGGCGGCGTTGTTGTTGTTTTGTGTTGACAGTGAAAGCCGATATATGGAGCTTTCAGGGCTCGGGGTCATTCAAAATAAACTGAACGGAACTGAACCCATCCAAATGAATCACCTTGAACCGTGGCAGGGAGTCGAAAGCACGAACGGCTGTGGTGCTGAGTGGGTGAGGAGCGGCATCAGCACGTGGACGGAACTTAAATCGCGGTCCACGTCGAAAATCAGAATGTTCATCTAAACTAGAGGAATCGCATTGAGCTGTGAAGCTCTTATTCACAGATATCCATCGTTGCGCAACTGGAGACCTCGCGGCATACGTATGTACTGGATGTATGTTGAACTTGATTCGCACCGTACGTAGCCAACCGTGCTAATCGCAGACCTCTCTCACCTCTGTGATCTAAAAGGTCAGAGCCGTCTCCCCTCCCCGTCTCCCCCTGTCACCTTCAGTCGTCCCGAGGGGTTCACGATGCTCACATCGCCCGCGGTGGAGAGGGGGATCCAGCCATTTTCACGTGGAGGCTGATAGAGGCGTCAAACATCTTCTGGAACGAGCCCTACAGACTTCACATCATGCCTCTCCTCCTCAATCCACGTCCCCATGTAAATTAGATTGCTCCGATATCTAAAAATCAGCGCCTCTCTGCGCCACGTGGGCCAGTGAGCATAATTGGGATGTTTTTTTTTCGCGAGCACTGCTGCGACTGCTCTCTCTACGAGCCATCGCCATCATTCGTGGTCAATCTGCTGCTGGATGGAGGCCGCCCCGACGAAGTCGCTCTTTCGCGCTCCAGCGATGTATCGATCCACTCGGCTCCCAAGCGAGAGCCGATTTCATCGCTCCATTTCCTCGCATGGTTAGCGCCGTCTGTCCGCTCCGTTGTGCATCGTGGCATCGGTGTTCATCTGTTCACAGCCCCGCAGAGCCATCGGTGGATATTCCACATTCCTATGGTGGGGGCAAGTCTGTCCATAAAATGACCGCTCCCAGCGCGCAAACTAAAACCACAGGTGTGGGGTAAAGAATGGGTCCTCCCAGTGACGTAGTAACCAGTGACGTAGTAACTACACTATCAGCTCAGAGGGTGAGGAAATCGGTCATGTGGGGCCCCAATATTTGATTTGTCTCACACGGTCACACCTTGGCTATTATGCAGGGTGCTTCCAAACTTGTTTAAACACTTATGAGAATTTGCAACAATATCACAAGAAATGTGCTGCCTCCGGGCTCTGGAGATCACCGGGAGAAGATTCCAGACACGCGTTGACAATGATGGCGAACAAATGGAGACTCCGACTGTTTGAAGCTATGAACATTACATGTTATCACGTTACTGTATTATCCGTTCTTTTGCCATTAAAAACGATAGTCCCATGTAAGCGTTGACATTTGTTTAAAGCACCCTGTATATCACGGCTCCTCTTGCCTAATCACATACGTTTTTGTTAGTTTACACTGTTGTTGAAAACATCTCATGGTCGTTGTCAAGGGTACTCCCAACACGACTGGTCAGCGTGGAAGAGTAGACCAATGGAGTAGATCAATTTCCATCTATAGCTCGCTCGAAATGGAGGCCCCGTCCGCTAGCATTGGGAGTGGGTGAGCAATTCCACGGCTGCGTCTTTACCTCTGAACGGAGAAACGGGGGTCAGATGAACCACGCGGTGACTTAGGCCGCCGTGCGGTTTGTACGCTCGAGGGTGCCAATCGGTGCACTCGTTAGGAACATCCCACTGGAATTGGAGACCAATTCCTGACTTGCATATCCTGAAATCAGTTACGGGTTCGCCGGCGATCGTTGAACAACCCCAGCATGCACGCGCGGTGCTTAGGAGTGTGGCTTCTGAGCCGAGGTTTGCGCGCACGCGTCTCCTTAAAAAGAGCCGCACTTAGCGGCTGACCTACTTCCCACTTTAACAAGAACTGGGTAATGAGGGTTGACTGGAGGAGGCACGCAGCGTGAACTAATGTGGGCCACAATTGGCGCTAATGTACTCACTCACTCGGCGAGCGAGCAGTCACCGCCAGCCATACATTAAAATTCTCCACTCCAACCACGGGCTCCCATAACAGAGCCCAGCGGTAGCGCTTACGCCGCTTGCGGCAGACATTCGAATCCGGCAGGCCACCCCGACGAATACTACGGGTGAATTAAACCGTAAAATCCTACGCCGTCTGCTAGAGGGCGGACGCTAAAAATCCCCCTGACGTCATTTGAGAGGAGTATGCCGGCGTCATATCCGAATTCAAAACACTACCTGCAAATTATTCATTTGGGCTTACGCATGGCAGCATGGCGCCTTGAGACACTGTGAAAGGTGCCTACTCAGTGCAAGTGATAAGTATTGTCTGTGACCCTACAGTGGTTGAATATCGTGGATTAGATGAAACAGCCAGCCTGGTTAACCAAATAATCAATACGAAGTCACCCCAATGGTTGTAGTGATAAAAAAGTGACCAATGTACCAACGCTCGTGCAATCACATCACACACACACACGTGCGCACGTGGTCAGTTTAAAATTTTTGTTTATTTAGTCTCAACGAAAGAAGCAGCACTATTAAAGAGATACAAACATATAAAGCTGTGTGCTTAGTTCTTACCCACACCAGGGTGAGGTGTAACGACCAGACAGGAGGGAGTTAGTCCGTCGGCGAGAGGCTGCCTCGTGCCTCTCTCACACCGACCATCCACGAGACGCCGCTTTCCACAATTAAACACAGATTTGATGAACAGGCGGTCGCACTTTGCCGACACGCAAATGACGAAAAACCCCACCATCCCACGAACAAACAAGCGATCCGGTTCGGCATCCCGAACGACGTGGGCGCGAGCGCGCTCGCCACCGCTGCTACCGACACGGCACGCTCGGCACCGCTGATCGCCGCTCGGCACCGCTGATCGCCACACGGCACGCTCGCCACCGCTGCTACCGACGCGGGGCGCTCGCCACCGCTGCTACCGACACTGCGCGCTCGCCACCGCTGCTACCGACACTGCACGCTCGCCACCGCTGCCGGCATCGCGTCCCAAAGTTTGCCTTAAGGGGGCAAAAAAAACGACAGCGCACTTTGCTCAATTCAAATTACACACGGGCAAGATCGCTCAACCCCCCCCCCCCGCCACACACGCAGGCTACACCGGTCCTTTTGCGATAGCCTTGCGCCCCAAACACAAACGGTGCTCGACAACCGCTCTTCACCATCCGTCATGGACGTCGCTCTGCGTGGCACCCCATCGCAAGCGGTGGAAGGGAACGGCAGCAAACTTGGGATCGCGCGCTGGGTCCGACGCGTGCAGCCACGGACAAAATTTCAACGTCAACGCGTAGTCTCGCTCCTTCCCCTCCCCGCACGTTTCCTCAAAAAGATGTGACTAGACGTAGTAAAATTCACCGATACGTTAATCGGGGGGGGGGGGGGGGGGGGGGTGTCTGTGGAATTGTGCGAGAGCTAATTTCACACCAACGGTGGGAGAAGAAGAGAATTAACAAAATCAGGCCCACGGTGTGAGAGGCGAGCAACGGGGTTAGGACACTGGCGGCTTGAGGAGCCGCCGCGCGTGGAGATAATTGGTGTCGAGGCTTCACTAAGAAATGTGATGCAAAGCGGAGCAGGCGTAGGCCCTGGGGAGCCCACCACGGGCGAGAGAGCGGCCCATTCATCAAAACGCTCGGTTCATCCGTACATCAGCGGGGTTTCCAAACTCCAGTCCTCGCGACCCGCCACGCCGCACATTTCCGCGCTCACATTGGGCGCGCTCGCGATAAAATCGCCAAGCTGTTGTGCAACTGCACGCACCCCGATGATCGCTGGACACGTCCCGCACACCACGCAGGGTGGCGATTAATCCCAATCTGATCTCCCCACCGTACGAAACGCACGCCTATATATACACACACACACACACAGTCGCACACATGGACGAAAAAGCCCCCATCTCGATTTGGTTGCACGCTCGCTCTTGTCAGGCGGCGTTTTTATCAATCATCGGGTGCGTGCGGTCGCGAGCGCTGGAATTTGGGACGCTCGAGGAAGCGCGAGGCAGGCGACCTCTGGAAAACGTGGAGCGGACCCCGATCAACTCTTGCGTCAATTCGAAAGAAACAAAAATCCACGGGGCCACATTTTAACCTTGAGAGCCAATAACTGTACTTTGTTCCCAGTCCGATTCAATTAAAGATTAAAGCAACGTTATTAATAAAGATATTAAATTGGGCGGGCACGGCTCTCTGGGGGAGCTAACGCGCCGCCGTGCCGACCTCCCGGGCAGCTCGTGACAGCACCTCGACTCGCACCATCGATTCGATCCCCCCTCCTCCACCAACCCCGGCAGCCTTGGGTGCGGTGACCCTAGCGGGGAGGGGATGGGTGCGGGGGGGGGGGTCGTGGCTTTAACGCCATGTCGCCGAAATGGCCTTCCCGAAAGAGCGGACCCATTTGTCTTACTCCCACCTGTCACTTCGGAGCAAGCCGTGGGCGCCGAGGCCGGGAGCGGCGACGCGGCCAATCCCCACGCGAATGCTCCCGGCCGCGTCAACTAAACGGGTGGGTGCCTCTCCGCCCAAGACACCTGTGCGACGAGCTCAAGAGCGCGCGACACGTAAAACACGCTTGGGCGCGCCACTGGACGTGACCGCGCGCACAGGTCAGCCGGGTTAGCTGCCGAGCGACGGGCGATACTCGAGGCCTCTCCGGGAGCAAAATCAAACGATTTGCGTCGGCGTTAGCGACGCCCCCCCCCCACCCCCCTCCCCCCGGGAGGGGGGGGGGTGTCGAGATAACGCGCGCGCCGACAAACTCGCGACGCCAGATCAGGGAGCGTTCAAGTCACGAATGACGGGAGTGCCCAGCCAACGAACGCGAGGGCGTAACCGGCACCCACACCACGCATGCATGCATTTGAGTGGGCGCGATGGCACTAGAGCGTGCACCTAACAGAACTCACAGTGGACACCAACATCACGGGTCAATGCTTTATGCAGAGCGGAGCAACGACTCGCCAAGCGCAGCGTCGGAGGCACGGGCAGGCCCGGGTGACATTCACCCACGCGAGCTTCCCTTGACCCTACCGAGCGACCGACTGCCCGGCTCACGCCAATTCGAGAGGGTGTTCGGCGGACTCCGTCACGTTGACCGGACGTGTGGGAAGGGGCGGGCGTGCACACGCTTTTTTTCCCCGCCACGCCGGTCGTAGACCGCGGTGCGCCCGTCTGCTCCGCTGTGTGGAAAGACGTCGTAGGGGTCGGCGGGATTTCAGATGCTAGCCCCCCCCACCCCACCCCCCACTATCGTTTCAACTGCCGCGCCGAAGTCTCGGGATCGAACCGGCGAGCTCTGGATCGCAAGCCCAGTGCACCGCTCTCCTCGAGGCCACAGCGGCCGTGGCGGGCCTCGGTGTCGCTGTACCAACGGGAGCTGCACGGAGGCGTCTCTATGCTCCGCGGTTTAAAGGCATTAAAACCCTGAACGTATTGCACAACCTACGACAGCAACAAAACCCAATGGAACCGTGACTTCATTAGCGGGAGCGGCAAGCACGGTTTGGCGTCCGCTGCACATAAACATCTCCTCCCTCTGCGAGACGAGGGAGTTTTGTTTTTGTTTTAATATCTGGCCCAAAGTGCATTTCCAGGTGGGGCGTCAAATAGCAAGGCCAAGGCTGGATACCGACTCCAATTTAGAGGGCTGGCATTCCATCACGGGGGTTTAACACAGCTGGTGCAGACAGGAAGAACAATTGGGAGTTGCTAGAAATTGGAATTTGCATCGGCTCTGCTCGTCACAGCTGCCGGGGTGATTCTCTCTCCGTGGGTGTGGATGCACGCAGAGGAGACCGCACCAATCGGCCGGCCCGCTTACATTGCAGTCACGTTCCAACTTCAAGTGAGGTGTAATGTTTTATTCATAAACGGTTTCACTTCATCTAAAGTGACCAATTTACGGCTACCTTTGCGATCTTCACGCAAACACACCGAGTCCAATTATATAAGCCCTCAGTCAAAGGTCAGCCTATACAAGGGTACAATACCAGCAAAACGCGCACGCGCGCACCCACACGGCCAGTTTTCACGCACGCACAGCCCGTGTACATGCGCACGCACACACGGCCAGTACACACCCACGCACACACAAGCACACGCACACAGCCAGTATTGCATGCACACAGAGACAAAGATTTCCCCTACAGCATTAATGGACTTTTGGGGCAACTGCTGTTTGCGAGCACGTACATGCACACACACACACACTGCCAGTATACACTTATCCGTATTAATCTGAAGAGCTGCATAGCAGATTAAAAAAGAACGACGTTTCGAAACAGTAGTTATAGATCAACGGAAAACACGACGACGACGACACTTATCACACCATTGTTATTATTATGATAAAGGCCTCATTCCATGTTCTATAAAAAATTACGATGTTAAGAAAAAGATAACAGTACTAATAAAACCAACCAGCATCACGTAATAGTGCAATCCTCTGCAATCACGTCTTAAAACAAAAACGAAAGCGCACTCCGTGTAGCAAGCACACACAAGCACCCATATCTTTATTTAATTTGTGTACAAGGTGAAGGGGTCGACATTCCGACCAATGTCCTGTACGCAGCCCCGCTGTGTGAGGAGCCGAGCGCCCGCACACGCGACGCGCGCAGAGCAGCTGTCTGCCGGGACGAAAGCGACAGTCGCTTCTGTCCGAATTAGGGGATTCCGAATCATCGCTCTGGAAGTGGAAAGCGCCGGAGACGCGTCTCCCACGGGGGGGGGGGGGGGGGGGGGGGGGGGGGTGGAGGCAGCCGGGCTCACATCGTTCTGCTTACTAGGAACATCGGGGAAGCATGTGGCGCGTGTTGGGGGCGGGGGGGCCAAACAAATATGTACAACATTTTCCTTCCACGTACCAATTCCCTAACCTAACGTGCAATTTGATCGTCACCGTATCCCTGCGCGGTCCCGGCTTCGGTGCCCCAAGTTGTGAAGATGGGCACCGGCATTCCTGGCATCCACCAGGCACGCAACGCCTCGCACCCGACCCCAACCCTCCCGCAATGCCGTGAGAGATTGCGGAGATTGTCGTCAGCCTCGTCGCGCTCAGAAACGAGTGCGACTCGTTTTTAAGCAAGCGTCCCGTGATGCCGGGGCATTTCGGGAGACCGCTATGCGCAACGCACTCTCAGCGGGGTGGTTTTGACGCGTGCACGAGCTGACGAATCGGTGCGCTTCTCTAGAACCCCTCCCCCCCCCCGACGTTTAGAACCCTCGACGTGTTTGCAGTTGGGAGTGGGGGCGGAGTGTGGTGGGAGGTGGAGGCGGGGGAGGCAGAGGGCAGACCCAACGGCGCACGTCTTCATCACCAAAATAGAAAAGTAAAAAAACGGAAGGACCTCGACACTGGCAGAGAAGCAGGAGGGCGAGTGGCCGGCCGGACCTAGATCTTGGGCAGCTTTGGAGCGCTGATGGCCGGGTGGCTGTCGAGCAGAAGCCTGCGGCCTATGCTCTTGTAGTCGAAGGTGCAGGCGTGCGCCTCCGCGTAGCGGTGCATGCCACAGAAGTTGTTGCCGCACCTGCGAGGTGGGGGGGGGGGGGGAGTGTGGGTGGGGGATCGCACGGGTGAGGAGGGGGCATCTGCGCGAGCGGAGGGCCGGCGGTAGCCCGGACGACGCCGACATCAGGCCCCGTTAAGGTAGGCGACGGCGAAAGTAAATCCGATGAACTAGACCAGAGTGATATAATGGTGGCGATTTGCGTTTGACAGAGCTGCCTTCCTTTGCGCTGGGACGTCTCGGAACACTTTACAAGCGATAAACGTCCCCTTGGACGCGTCTCATTCCTCAGCCGCCACTGCATTATTATTCTTGAGCGTCGTCCATCGTCCCTTCTAGCCGTCACGTGTCTTGCCCAAGCCCCATTCACTTTTCATTTTAATGGCGAGGATGATGGCATTATAACTGTGGTGTGGACTGCTTGTATTGAAGAATCGTGGGGGGGGAGAGGGGTGGTGGCGGCGGCGGCTTTGCAAGTCCTTCATCCAGCAGTGGATGGATCATAAATGATGGTGAGGATAACAGTAACAGCGGTGGCTGCCGTGAAAGAAGTCAAACGTCCCGATAATAATGAGTCTCGTCGACCGTTTAGTAAGGCTGGTGTGGGAGATGACCTCCTTGACAGGAGCCTTGTTTACGGATGAAGCAGAAGCGATGGGGCAGATGGCATGGGAAATCTATCGCTCGCTGTGCCCCAAGACGAATGTGCAGGTTCGCACGGGCCACAACAGCTCCTGGGACGGAATAATTTTTGTTTTAATCTTTCACTGCATCGTCTTTCCCCCCCCATTCCCATCCCGGCGGCACAAACCACGTCGTTCAAGAGACGAGGGAATCCACGCGGATCTCTCGCGCAGGGCAGCGCGAGACGAACCCCCTTCGCATTAAAGAATGGCCCGCGCAAGCGGATACCACAGAGCCACCCCCGAGATCGCTTCGAGAGACATCCCGTCCTCACCATAGGGAGCGGCACTATCCCGCCCGTATTGCCACGATGTTCGCTGCACGACAGGATGAATGAATTCCTGTAATGCGGTGGCACGTGGGTGCTCTGCTTGTGTCAGCCAGATGGATGAACAACCGTGAATAGAGGAATCGAGGTGTTAAATAATTTGCCTGCCAAGGGCCGCTGGAGGCAACGCGTTCGCCGAGCCTCGCTCACGCAAGCGAGGCCTGGGCCTCTCGACGGGAGCTCCCTCCCTTCCCGCCTCCAAGAAAATGCTGACAAACGATAACCCCTTTGCAGCTGACGAGCGACTACCGGGGGCATCTTTAACACTTTCCGACGAAGGCTGATTATAAGTGAATGCGTTGTAGCGCCCGAGATCGCGGCACTCCTCGACCATGAATCATGCCCAGGTGCAGTGGCGCATGAGCTCAGTTAAAAGGGAAACGTGGGTGAGAAGATTGACTGGAAGAGCAGCGGCGGGGGGTTGTTATTTTGTGTGAGATTGCACGGCAATTATTTATTTGCTGCAGGCGCTCGCTTTCATCCACGCCGGTGCGAAGCGGCGGCGTGGAGCAGCTCGCGCTTACGCATTTTGCTCTGTCCTTCCGATTGAAATGCCGCCCACAGGTTGTACAACAAAACCAAAAGGAAAAGGACCACTAATTAAATACTTCCGAAGACAAAAGCGTGTTTACTAAATTGTTGATTATCATAAGGGTAATGAGATCAACTTGTGTAAAACTCACAAAACGACCTCCCCATTACCCGTAGGCTGATTATCGTGGTTGCTGATTAACCAAGTAACTGTGCTCTTGTGCGTTCATACGCATGTGCGTGTATATTTTTTTTCGTGTCAGGAGCTCACAAATACTTGAAAGATCCGGATACATGCCCATCAGTGAGCTCCTCCTGCAGGAGAGGCTGTGTTGGCTGGGTCATGTAGCCCACATGCCCAGCAACTGCATGCCAAACTAGCTTCTGTTTGGCTGAATAGAGGGGGCTTAATAGGAACGGCACGGGCTGGGGGAGATGGACTAATGTGGTACAGAAGAATGTGGAGCTGAGTGGACTTGTCAAAGACTGTAACCAGTGATGTCCAGATCAGCCTCTACGGGGGAGATAAGTGAAGGACGCTACTGGGCAGTTGGAGGTAGTCACCCATCAGAAACAGCAGATAGCAGAAGAGCGATGCTCACAACAATGAGCGGAGTATCGGGTGGCTAAAACGGAGTAGGTTGGCAGTGAGGAGCACAGGGGTGCATCTGCCAGTCATCTCAGTCAGTCAAACCCATGGCATCTGGGTCTATTCCATGACCTCCTGCCAGCGGGCATTTGACACTCCACGTGGCCTCAAAGCGCACCTAGCCTGGCACAAGCGCCGCGGTGACGTCACCCCCACTTCGCGGCGAATGGCAGCTGTTGTTTATTTTCCCGCACAAACATCCCAGTGCAGGACCCTCGAGACAAAGAAAGAAAACGATTGGTGAGCAGTTCCCGATTTTTAGGGAACGGGTAGCCGATTCCGGAATGGGTTACAGGTTAACCAGTTGTCCTTTGACAACCCCCTCCTCGGTGGATGCGGTGCGGGGTGAGCGACCGGGGTGGCTTGCCTGCACTCGTAGCTCGTCGCCAGCCCCGTCTTCCGACCGCAGAAGAAGCACCTCTTTGTCGCCGCCTTCTTCTTCGGCTGCTGAGTTTGCGCCACCAACCTCGCGCCACCTGCCATGCACGAGACGGAGGGGGCACACGAGGGGGATCGGGGGGGACGTTGAGGATCTAATAAAGGTACACACGCGAGCTTCCACCTTCATACGACGCCCGCGCGTGACGGTGCCCCCATCGACCACGACTCCATCTACTATGACGTGGACAAGTGGGGGTACGTGCCGGGTGGAGGGGGGGAGGATTTGGATGAATATGACCAGAGTTTCTTAAAATCCATGGCCACAGTAGGGTCAGCGCGATTCTGATTCTACATTTCAGGGAAATCCGTGAAAAGTTTGCCTTGGACCAAATCACCCGATGGGCACCGAGCATGTAGAACGTGGGTGTTTGAAGGATGCTGCAGGCAACATTATGGGCAACAGATGGCAGTGCAGCAAAGTCCATTATTATACTGTACTATCCTCCGACATGTGACCGGCGCGGTAAAGGTTAAAAAAAACCCTACGACCTGCATACCGTGGGGGGGGTGAGGCCTTATAATTCAGTGGCGAACAGAATAACCGGACCCCAACGCCACAGACGTGGCCGACATTAAAAAGCCACGCAGGCGGCGATGACGTGAGGCGCCGCGCTGATTTGTAATTTGACACGCCGTAGCGCGAGCGCATGCGCACGCAATCGCAGCACGCTCCTCGACCGTTAATCACGCCCAGGAGCAGCGGCGCATGAGCTCAGTTTAAGGGAAGCATGGGGAGAAGATGCGACTGGGAGGAGATGAGCAGCGGCGGCAGCGGGTTGTTATTTTTTGCGCGAGATTGCAAGGTAACCGATTGATTTAGTTGCAGCCGCGGCTTTTATCCACGCCGCTGAAAAAAGCGGCAGCGCGCAATTCAACGGTCGTGCTGAATCGGGCAATTGCAGCATAAGTACCTCGCATAGAGAGAGGTCTTAAAATTCTATTTGGGCCATTCTTGTGCTGATCTCTGTTTTGCCGTGTGTGCTCCTATTTCTGTTTGCCTCATTGTTGCACTTTCTTTCATCCTCTTATTGATTTCTGCCCTCTTGATGAACCGGATCACTCGAGCGCACGAGACTATCCAAGGTCTCCAGAGTTCTCGCCTGGTCAAACGACAACTCTGAGACTTGGAACTCTGCAGTTCCATTTTGCGGACTCGAATGAGCTTGCGTCTCACGTACCGTTCCGCCGAATCAGCACTTGCGAGAAACAAGCTGGATTTTCAGCGCGAACATGAAAGCCGCGTCGGGTTTCGGTTAATGGGGAGGCGACACCCGGCGGATTTAACACCCAGCGCCCAGAAATCAATCGGCTGCTGATTTAAACGGATTTGACAAACCCAACGTCGACGCTCGGGTAGAGCGGCAGAGACTTCTTCCGCTCCGCCATCACGCGATCGTAGCTCTTTCCCTGCCATTGGCAGAAAGTGTTTTAGTGCAGGCGAGCGCCAATACGGCTAAGCGATTGCATCGGCTCGCGGGGGTTAAGTGAAATACCTGATTCTTCGGCCTGTGGAGAGCAAGGTTCCGAGCAGCGAGCACCATTAAGAGACTGCACACGCACGGAGAGGGGCACGCAGGGACGGCGGTTCACACGGCACGCAGAGACGGCGGTTCACACGGCACGCAGAGACGGCTAACGCGCCGCAACATCCACGCAAAAACCATCTCGGCTTCCTTCCTTCGGCAAACAAATCCCGGGGAGTATGAAGCGTCCGTTTGATTTTGTCCATTGCATTTTCACCGACAGCTCGCAATCATGCATTATTAAAATGGCAGCCTTGTTAAAATATGAAATCGTGAATTATTGAGCGAGGAGGCAAAATGCTACGCGCTCCCCTGCTACACGGGGAACGAACGGAGAATGCGCGCTGGCTACTTCCGCGTGAATCGCGGCCTCTCCGCTGCATGCCAGGTGGACAGCGCGATCCCTCTCCGACCACAACGGACAACACGTGTCCCCTGTTCACACTGCGTCAGGATTACAACCCCAGACAATGCCGTCGTCGGTAAAGACGAACGGAGCCTGCAAAATTGCAGGGATCACAAGTGACGCCCTGACCAAATCTATACGCCCACCATTCCTTCCACATTCACGGTTAAACCGCTACAGTGTCTGTGATGTAACGTTTCACTACGTGACGATTACCGCGATTTCCGTTTGCCATAAGTCTGTAATGGTATTTCGCATTTCTATCATTTGTGTACTTTGCCATGCTTCCAGTCCGAATAGAGATTACTTACAAAGTTATTTAACTGCAGTGCACTCAACATTAGCCTGCCTAAAATCTTCTAATCATTGTAACTTTACAAACTGTGATGCTTTTACTGCACACACACACTGTCATTTGCACAATATTTATCCAGTTAAATTAATTACTACATTCATCCAAGCATACTTAAGTTCCGATGTATTTAGACCTTCAATGACTGTGTTTGTTATTTCATAAATATCTTGTCAAAACATAGAGATGTTGATGTCAGGAATTAAAATATTAATAAGAAAGAGCAATGATATCACGATCATCCTGGACCTTGCATCAAACATCGTATCGCCACATTGCGGCTCCCGTACAACTCTGTCAGACAGCGGGGGGGGGGGGGGGGTGAGCGGACACGGGCCGCGACCTAGGATCTACGATCCGTCCGGAGGCCCGGCAAGGGCGTCACGCCGTGCGAGCTCACGTAGGCTGCGGCCCCGCCGGCACAGGAAGAGACGGACGCCGCCGCCGCCGCCGCCGCCGTCGTTGTCTCAGCCCCGCGGCGGTGCAGCAGGTCGGGCGTCGAGGCTCGAGCCACCGAACTGACTTGCGGCAGGAGGCGGTCGCGCGACGACAGGCGCGCTAGCAGACGCACGTCTCTGCTGCTGCTTCTGCTGCTGCTGCCGCTACCACTGCATGACGGCACGGCGCCGGCTGCCGCGGCGCGGTTGCCCTCCGAGCCGCTGCTCGGCCTGGCATGCGCGCCCACCACCTTCTTGCCTGCGTGGTACAAGCGTGGGGGGGTGGGGGGAGGGGAGTCACGGTTGTCGGCCAAACCCTGGTCACCGTCACTGTTAGCCGGCACAGCACCCAAGGAGGCCGACTGGCTAATGCCACGCCCGGCCGTCTTCGCGTCCCCAGTGCTGACGTTTACACACAGCAGCAGGTACTCTATTAATGCCGAGTCGACCTTGAGCAGGTGCACAGGACCGATTCAAATGCTACCCCATGTTATTGATCGCGAGCGGGAGAATTGAACACTGGTCGCCACGTAACACGGTGCGACATCGCTCCCCAGGCACGCGCACGCACAAGCACACACGCAAGCACACACGCACGCACACGCACACACGCACGCACACGCGCGAGCACTGACCGGGTCAGAAATTGAATTTGGGCAGAATTCATCACATTTTAGGGCCACGAGAGCCACGCGGGCCGTCGAACGTCCGACTCTGCCAATCTCGGGCCCGTTTAGGTGACCGGCGGCGGCCAGGAGAGCAACCGCGACGTGACGTGGGAGCAAATAGCTGTGCGGCGGTGCAATCAGAGGGACGATTTCAAGAATAAAGTCTTGCGCTCGCACGAATGCGCGCGATCAATCGTGCAACTCGGAATATACTATTTGTAATTTCGGCAAGGTATTCGTTGCTTGGGTTGCACTGAGAGACAAGAGGAGGAGATACGCGGATTGGAGAAGGCACGCAGGCTGAAAGCAGAATTTTAACCGTCAAGAAAAGTCGGCGGGACCGGGGCGTGGACGTGTCGCGGTAAAGAGGCGCGATGGCCGGCGGGCAAGAATACGGGCAGTGGCGGCAAGAGGAGGGAACGGGTTCGGGAAGACGTCCTCTGTGAAAAGCGAGCGATGAATTCAGCTCCGTTGCAGGTGACGGGGTGCGCGTTCGTTAACATCACAGGTCCGCGAGAGACGGCGACGACTCGCGGAGGGGCCTTCACCCAGCGGTGCATTGACTGCGGCCGACGATAACGATGGAGAAATCACATTTGTTTTTTTTTATTTTGTTTGCTGGCCCCCGATCGTAACAATCCCTTAAATCGCCGTGATGCAATTTAAGGCCGAGTCAGCACATGCCGGCGTCACGCCATGCGTGACGCAGCACCGTCTCTCACAATCTCACGACTCGGCGATCCATTTAGCGCCTGCACACAAACACACTTGCACCTGTCATGGGAATGCGGAGTTTCCACCCACTGGCTCAGGGCAGTAAAAAGGAGGCGGGAGCACCGCCTCAATGCTCATTTTGAGTAAGGAAGCCAATCATTTACTTTGGGAGGAAAATTGGAACACCTGCAGTAACTGACAATTAAAGGCGGCAATTCAAAAGGAAGATAAAAGGGTGTGGGGGGGGGGGGATTTGCATAAAATTGTTGAAGGAAACACGTGGGGGACATGGGTGGCTCGTTCCGAGGAAGGTTAAGCAGCAGCGTCGCACAGCACAACTACTTCGGAAGAGCCATCCAAGGGCGAGGTTCGCTGCAGGGTGGAGCAGCACCACCGGGCTGGTGAGCGTTAATAACCAGCGAAACGACATTTACCTTCGCAACCTTCCCCACAAGGCCCAGTGGCGCCCCCCCCCCCGGCACCGCTGGCAACCGGACATTAGCGGCGCATGTGGCAACCCTCCCCTTTCCATGACGGTGAGGGGGGAATTGATTGGATTCCTTATCTCATTCATGCCGCCCGTCTCATTTCCTCTGCATTGTTTCTTCCGTTAGTTTACAGACGAGATCTTCTTAAATAATCGACAAGCACGCGCATGCACGACTCAATGCCCGTGCCGTGAACGTCACAGCGGATTTTTAGTCGCCGAATCGTCACACGTGCACTAGGGTGGTTAAACGACAATCGGATTGGGTAGGGATTACGAAAGGCAGCAATCGGTCATCGATTCCAGTGGAATACGAGCAGGGAGCGCTTGGAATACCCACACTTTACCCCACCGTAGACGACCTGTTGTTTGACTTCCCGCGGTTGAACCCAATTACACTGCTGGGTGAAGGCGGGGGAGATTTGCCCAGGCCGGGAGGTTCAACCAAGCCAGCGACCTCTGGGTTGAACACAATTTTAACCACCCTAACACAGAAACACGAGGCAAATGGAACCATATTGATTATAATAATCAATTCTTAAGCTTATTATTATTACTACGAGTTGTGCAAAATGAATGCTAATGGTACGCATATCAATTTCTTGGTAAACGTTTCATGTCCACGTGATGCATCTGTGGAGAGCCGTCTGCGTGCACACGAGCTGCTGCACAGCGGCTGGACCGTTGAAACGTGACGGCGGCTTGGGAGTTAACCGAGGCCGACGATATCGCCGACGGCGCGCTCCCGTTACATTCCTCAAATAACAACACTGCGCGACGAGGCCGACATGAGCGACTATGGACACATTGCGCGAGAGAGGCGGTTCAGAGGAGACGAGGAAGGTTCGACCCCCCTTTTTCGGAGACGCGCGGGGTGGCGCGGAACTCACCTGCCGACACCATCCTGCCCGGCTTGCCGGCTCCGCCAAAGTTTTTCTGAAAGGCACCGGGGTCCATCGGCGAAGGCAGCAGGACCCTTTTCGTCTGAGCCGGCGGGCGCAGGTTGCTCGCCCCCATGGGGGACGGCGGTCCGAGGCCGTCGTGGGGCAGCCTTGCGGCGCGGCGGCGCGGGGACGGCACCAGCAGCGGCTTGAGGAGCGGCACGGGCGGAGCGCCACGCCCCCCGGCAAACGGCGCGGTCCGAGCCGCCCCGCTCTTGGCGGCCCTCGGAGGCTCCCCCGCCGACCGCTTCAGCCTCTTGAGGGTCTTCGTCGACTCGGAGAGGTCGTCGTAACCGGCGCCGCCGCGGTTGCCTTTCGGCTGCCTGGTGGCGCCGTGCGAGGCCCGCGAGCGCAGGGGCTCGCCGCCGCTCTCCGCCCCCACGACGAGCTCCCACTTCGTGTCGAGCCTTGCGTCGTCGAGGTCGCTGCCCTCCTCCGGGATCATCAGCCGTTCCAGAGCCTCGACGGTCTCGGCGACTTCCGCTTTGTACGCAGACTCCCTGCTCTCCGCGGCGCGGGCGGCCGTCGCCGCCACCGCCGCCCTGGAGATGTCCATCCTCTCCATTTGGTCGGCGAGTTTCGCGAATTCCTCCGTCGCGACGAGGTGTTCCGGCGCGGCGTCGGCGTTCACCGCGGTCGCGTCCTTCTCGGCGCTCGGCGGGATGCAGAACGCTGAGGGGCCCATCCCCGGCAGAACGCCGCCAACTTCGAGTTGCGGAAAAAGCGAGTACGCGGGCCAAATGTCGGCCGCAGAGAGCGCGTAGGAGCCAGCGACATGCGAGTTGTTGAACAGACTGCCCCCTGCTTCGTGCATCAGCAAGTGAGTCTCGGAAGCCAAGTCCTCGTGAGTCGAACCCAGGGTTCCGTCAGAAGGCGGCACCGCCGGTGCACCGCCGGCAGCGCCCGCCTCGCCTCTGCCCGGCACGGCCACACCCTCCAGGGCTGGCACGTAGCCCGGCAAGGCAATGGGACTCTGTTTGTTTTCCAGAACGTCTGCCCCCACGGACAAGCTGCCACCGGTGGCGCCGCGCAAGCCCTCAGAACGGACAATCGCGTCAAAGGCCGCACCCGTCAAGGCGTTGGCCGCAAAGTTTCCGCCGCTGAAGAGGGCAGCTCCGTTTGAGATGGCGGGGAGAGGGCTGAACGAGGACAGGATGGTGGCGTGGCCCGTGGTGGCAGCGGCCTTCTGATGGTCGGTCGTCGGGGCGCGCGCACGCTGCCCGCCGGACACCTGCCCAACTGCTGGGTGGAAACCTCCAGCAAACACGCCGGTGGTGAGCAGGCTGGACGTCAGGTGCGGACCACCCTCCGGCATGACGGAAGATATGCCGTTGATATAGGGGGAGCAGAACGCTAACGGGTTGGTCGTCAGCACAGTCGGCGGCGGTGGCACCGTGCGCGATGGTACCCTGGTGACCGGGCTGCCCGGGAGATGCATCGATGCCGTCGGTTGCTCGGAGCTCTCGGCGTTTGAGCCGCAGAGCGGCGGTAGGCAATGGGGGCGGCCCGGCGACTGGCTTAACTGCGGGAAGGCACGCAGACGTTGACGGCTGCGGGAGGCGCAGATCCCGCCAATGGAGCGCAGAGACGACGGAGGCCGCGGCTGCAGCTTGGGAATGCCTTTCTTGGGCTGCAAAGACAACCACAGTTTTTTATAACTCCTCCGTTTTAATGAGGGTTGTTAAATGAAAGAAGGTAAACTTGTTTCAAAATCGATAACCAGTTCAGAAAGTCAGGAACCTTTAAGCGATCAGAGTGTAACTGTATTCAGGAATGCACCGATTGGCACGTGCAAACGTATAAACCAGACTGCCATCCCAGAAGATGGGATCCTGGATTGCAAGTCTTGTGCATTCACCATTACGACATAGCAGCTCCCCCCTTCACCCATACATTGACTTAGTTTATAGTGAAACACCTCAGTTCACACCGGCAACCGAGAATGGCGAGCGGGCAACATGAGCATATATATTACACCGACACATGACGACCAGATCACAGCTGGAGAACAAATCCATCTCCCATTTGTGCATCGGTTTTCATGAAATGTGCCGTCCGGTTCCATTCACTGTTGTGTAACGTTGTTGAAAATAAGACAGAATAGAAATGCTTTTGAATAAAGCACATGACATTCTAAACAAACGACCAGATAGCGACGCAACGACAGTGCCGACCGCGCGAGAGGAAAGTGTCCACGACCTTCTTGGCGAGGCTCATGTGGTTGCGGAGCATGCTCATCTTGCTCATGGTGAGCGCGTTCTCCTGCAGCTGCTCCACCGAGGGGGACTCCTCGGCATCCTCCTCCTCCTCCTCCTCCGCGTAGAGATTGTACATCGAGCCGCCACTGCACAGCGCGCACATAGGGAATTTTAGCGGCGCACGCACGCATACACGAGGCTCAGATCTCCCACGTAGCCTCAATGCAATGCCGGGGTTGTTATCGAGTGCCTGTCATTGACGACGTGGCTCACGAGGTGGTAGTGGTGTGGCCAGTACCACGCCGGCCACCTTGTTTCCCCAGTGCCGAGGTTTGACACGCTGCACCAGGTACTCATTTCAGGCAAAGTTGACCAAGGAGAGGCCCAGGATCAGTTTTGATATGTCACCGATGCTGGCTGCAAGTGATAATTAAACACGTTGCCGGGTTCGTAGGGCAGTGCGCTAACCGCCGTGCAGCCGCTATCTTACGCACGCAAATCCCCGTATACACACACACACAAAAAAAAACATCCCCGTATAACCTTCGCAGACTGAAGGGGGAAGTGCTGTTAGTGAGCACCTATGAAGGCCGGAACGGCACACGAGGAGGTGGGTGGCCAGCACCACGCCCGACTGCCTTTGTCTCCCCAGTAGCGATGTTTACACACCGCACCAGGTACTCATTTGAGGCTGAGTCGACCTAGGGGAGGCGATGGAAGCTGTTGGTGCACAGCGGCCAGACTGCGGCGTCGCAAGGTCGTGGCAGATGGCGACGGCGTAGGGAGGGGCCTCTATCCACATTTTGACCGGTGACAACTCGCGGGAAAAAATGTGACACCGCAGCTCAACAAGATTCAGCCCCTTGTCGCTGGAAGCCCCACTAAGCGGCCGTCCACGGGGTTGCGACTATGCTTCAGCACGCTTGTCAGCGAGAGAGCGCCGAAGGCAGGAGAGGGCGTGTAATAGTACTTTTAAAACAAAGCACACAAACAATGTATTTAAGGAATCGCCTCGGCAGTGGTGCACATGCAGAATCAAACAAATAACGCTAAGTTGATCGCAAACATTGCCCGATAAAAAATAGCACATCATAAAACTCGCGTTTTGGGCATTATAGCACTATTACAGGTTTGAATTACTTTATCAACTTGTGCCATGGAATGAAAGTACCAATGAGCGTTGTTTCCGTGAATCTTATGGAGATTTATTCAGCTGTCTGGAAACCACTTTGCTCTGGTACAGAACCAATCTTTGTCTTATTCTTAGCTCTTTCGGTAAAGTCACGTTGAAGGGAAACAATAAAATAATAAAATATATATAATAAATAAATTTTCACGACGTTTCGACCACAACACAAACGGTCGTCATCAGGTGTGTCAGTTCGCATTAATTAATTTAGTTTAAAACGATGTACTTATTTATTTATAAAAAACGGCAGCGCCACGCGCAGCGATTTGGCAGTTTATTTAGATGGACGAGTCCATCTACGTTCTGAAAAGAGGAGGAAGGAGACGAAAAATTAATGTATGCTGTCTGAAAGCCACTGTAAGCGTGAACAATCAATTAAGACCTGAAATGGTTTATCAAATCTTTCCAATGATTGCTAAGCCAGAATCCATCTTCTCGGTTGAAATTGTCTCTGTGCTTGTATATGTGGATAGCCTCATGAACGAATCTCTCATGGTAGCCAGATGGCTTTCAGACAGCATACATGAATTTTTCGTCTCCCCCCTCCTCTTTTCAGAACATAGATGGACTCGTCCATCTAAATAAACTGCCAAATCGCTGCGCGTGGCGCTGACGGTTTTTATAAATAAATACACCGTTTAAAAATAAATAAATTTATGCAAACCGACACACCTGATGACGACCGTTTGTGTTATGGTCGAAACGTCGTGGATTTTTATTAATTGTTTTATATATATTTTATTATTTTATTGTTTCCCTTCAACGTGACTTTACCGAAAGAGCTAAGAATATGAATTATTGCAGTCACGAAAGCTTTAAATCAAAATTCAATCTTTGTCTTGTTTTATTAAATTATTCCTGTGCTGAAGGACTCCGTGAGCTCTATAAGTCATGTTGTTATTGTGCTGTTGTAGTAAGCACACACACACGACATTCACACCTTGCGATTGTGTCATCCACACACCACGACGGTTATGCAACCAAAAAAGGTCCCCGCGGTATTGAAAGGATGAGCTGGAACAAAGAATTATATCGCAAATCCACCGCAAATAACAGGTCTCGTAACAGGCCAACGGAAGCCTGCCATTTTCACATCAAATGGCAGCGAATCGCGAAGAGGCGAGTCAAACTTTTACCTACGGCAAATAAAAGCTCCACCACGCGTCACATGATATCACCATACTGAGTACGGGCAAAAGGTTCAGCCACACTTTTTAAGCATACTTTGACTTCACCGTAATGAGTTTTAGATTACCCTAAAGTAGACCGTTTCCAGACAGGGTTGATATTGGATGGTAAGTACACCGTCCCGTGTGGCGGCTAATTTATCATTCTTAATTAAGAGCGCTGAAAACCAACCACAGTGTATAAAGCAGGTTCTCTCTCTCTGTCTGACCGCACAAGAGCAGAAATAATAAGTTGGAAACCAAATGGCTATTTACTTGTTGATTTATTTTCAGCTAGGATATGCAGCTGCTGGGGAGAACTGTGGTGCAGCAGTTAACAGACTACGTTGTGAACTCGGCCCTGCAATTCACCAACCCAAACGTCGGACCTGCACCTCCGATCAGCACGGTTGGCTACGTACGGTGCGAAAGAAATTCAACATACATATGTAGATGCATCAAACGACCAGGAGTGGATTGACAAAGGGCTGTGAAGAGCTGAAGGCGTCACCATGACCCTGGGGAGGAGATTGTTGGCTGGAGCGAGAGACCGGGAGTAACAACTCCTCCCCGGTGCTATGGGTGCCAGTGATCCACACAAGACGTATCTGCCTTGAATAATAAACAAATTACCTATGGTCGCCTGTCGTGGGTGGGAATGTCAAAAGTGCTGTGAATTATCATTATCATTTATTATTTCCAGCAGCAGCTGCTGTTGCCAGGTCTTGGCTCACGGCTAGAGCGAGACTGTGACCAAGGAATAGTCATCGTAACTTACAATGAAGCAAAGGGCGCAGAGCATGCCAAGCGAAGCAGCGCCACTATTAAGGAACGCTCACAACTTCAATCATGCCATCTGCATCACGTCGCAAGAAGGACGGCTCCATCTGCAACTCTCGCAGCAGGCAGTGCAATACCCACAATAATAGCTATCTCCATTCACGGGAGGGGCATATCCCTCCGCAAGACATGCAAAGCATCACACCAAAACAAAATGTTGCATTGCCAGAGCGGGAATCGAGCCAAATTTAAGTAAAAAACTGGAACTAATTAATGTAAATTTTTATCGTGTGCAGTCACTCCTAACCAGGCTGAGGCCATCACAACTCATCACGAGTGACGATGGGAGGGAATTCCCATGTGGAGCAGTGCGGGGGAAAAAGCAGAAAGAAAAGCGGCGACCTTACGCTGGTATTAAAATCTCTTCATGGCTTTGCCCCATCTTACCTCAACTTCCTTCGTCTCGTTTCATGTCCCCTCCAGCCCGCTCCGCTCTCAATCCCTCCTACTCCTCACCATTACCCCCTCTCCATGCGCACTCACCGTTTCCACTCCTTTCCCCTACTTGCCCCCTTGCACTGAAACAAACTTCCGCCCTACATGAAGCAACGAGCACCCTCCCTGTCGAGTTTTCCGCTCCTGCCCGAAGACCGCCACCGCTTCTCCACTGGCCCATCCTTCCCTCCATCCCTAGGTACCCACCGTAATCCCCGTACCCACCAAACCTCCCTCCCCATACCCCATCCCTATTCACCACATCACTGTTAGCTACCCTCCTCATTGTACCACTCGTAACCCCTGTCAAGGGCCTTGGATAAAAGTGCTATATTAATATAAGACGAGACCTGCAGTGTGGTAAGTCGGTGAGTGTGTGAGAGAGAGTGGGCGAGTAAACACAGCCTGGTATACTGAGTTCTCAATATGGGAAGAGGAATGAAGGAGTAAAGTTTATACGAACAGCAACTATGGTAGTAACAATATAAGTGTGATAGGGACGCGGTGAGCGAGTGACTGAAGCGAATCAGGAAGCGCTGGATCGATAATCAATCTGACTGCTTCACTTGGAATTATATCCAGTGCAGTAATGTAGCAAATGGGTGCTCCACCGCACATATGAAAACACTCCAACTAACAGGCCAGGTACATCAGCTGCGAGGGAGTGGTCCGCTTTCAGAAGGCTGCGAGTTTAAATCCTGGGTTGGGAGTCAACTCGGACCATCATTCCTTCCAGGGTTGATAAAATCATTACCACTTTGCAGGCAAGTCAACAGTGGTTGTCCTGTGGATGAACTCGTCTCCATCACAGCAGTGTGGAATTTCCACACAGCTGTGAGATAATGCTCCTTTAAATCAAAGTTAAATCACTTTGACTTTTATTCCACCTTTGGCCGAGTTCGTGCTTTGTATAGGGGAAATGATCGTTCGGAATTAAACAAGGCTCTGGCACGGAAAGGAAAACCGAATCATCTCCATCGCTACGGCGGCTGGCAGCAGCTCATCCTCGCTGCCAGGAGCCACCGTCACCAAACTAATTTTCGCACACACACACACACGCGCGCGCCTTGCAGGGACACAGACCCCGCCCCCCGTGTTGCTGCAGCAAACGTTGATGCGAGGGAGCACAAGGTGCGCCTGCTCGCAAGTCGCCGCGCGGCGATCAAGCTGCCTTGTCTGGTGGGTTTATACAATAAGGAGGCCGGTGAGCCCTGCGTGGAGAGCCACCGAGTCTCCATCGCGCTCAACCGACCGTTGGAGCGGCTCGAAATGCGCGCGACACAACGCGACGCACACGGCCAGCTAATGGGCCGGCGAGAGACTTGGACTGAGCGGAGGAGGCCGCTTAATAAAACATGCCGCTTTGAACAGCTTCTGCACGCTCATCTCATCCATGAGTAATGCTCGCTGGCACTGCGCTGCGTGCGAGCGTCGATAATGAATGTAACGCCAACTCGCCGCAATATCTGAACCCGCCATCCAATGGAACATATCGTAACACTAATTGTTTTGTAATTCTTCCCAAAGGGACCATTAAGCGCATATCAAAGAGTCTGCTCGATAGAACAAATTGTCCGTGCGCACGGCAGACAAAAACTAGTCTGAAGATAAATGACATTCATCTCGCATTCACCTCAAGGAAAGTGCAGAATGATTAAAAAAATCCTTTAGATTATTTTTGATTTACATCTGCTTTAAAATTTCATTGATTCTGGGGGTAGTGAGAAACAATATTCGACAGGTTAATGAAACATTTTAATGGCACTCCAAGCACAGCAATGAGCTACCACAGCGGCGTAAAGGTGAGCACGAAAAAATTTGGTCCTGCACGGCAGTTGATACAATGCGGCAAGTTTTTGAAACCTCCCCCGCTTCTGTTCACAAAGCAGCACACTACTGATCCACCAAAATTAGCCGATCGGCAGGTACGTGGAAGAGTAGGCGATTGCCCTCCAGAGTTTATTCAGGCGGAAGCCCATTAGCCAGCAGTGGCATGGGCAAGCAATTGCAGGACTGCATCTCTACCTTTTGACTGCAAAACGAGAGCAAAGGCACTGGGGGCCGCTGTGCTGTTTGTGCGTTTGCTCCAGCCATTAAGTGCATTCGTTACCTACGTTCAACTGGAAGTGGTTGCCAGTTCCTAACCAATTCTAAAATAGGTAACCGGATAGATACTCTTTGGTGTCTTTCGGTAAAGTCACGTAGGTATAAAAGAAAATAAATTAAATCACGACGTTTCGGGCGCAACACAAGCGTCCGACATCAGGTGGGACAACCACAGCAAGAAACAATTGCTGAAGTGGGCAAAAGGGGTGCTTGTATCAAATCTAGGTAACCGGATGTCACTCAACAACGCTACCTCTTACCAAGTGTGGAATTCAACATCCAGCCTGCTGCAGACTCACGCACGCTGCGCTGAGCTCCAGGGGTCCTGGGTATAATTCAGCCATGACCATGGGGAGGTATTCCAAACCAGCGATCACCTCTGGCACTTTAATCCTCAGTAGATGTGGGCAGTCGTGTGGGTAGGAGTGTTGGAAGAAGAAAAGTAAAGGGTATGTTTGCAATTTAGATCAATCACAAAGAAATGTATTGCCGTTGAAAAAATGTTCCCTCTACAACTATTTTCAACAAAGTGAAAATGGGGTGCCGCTGTAGCGAGATTTTAACTCCCTCACCTGGTACGGAGGAGGCCATGGGTTCGATCTCCACCTTGATGCTTGTATATTTGGAGTTTGCACGTCTCTCTCCCAGTGGTTTTCCCTCCACATTTAGAATCACATGCGTTTGAAGTATTTGGCTGCTATAAATTCCCACTTCGTTGAGATATCCTTTATGGCCAAGTGGCTTCTGAGAAAAAGCTCTATAGCTCGGTGGGCCTTACCGAGTAATATAAACATAGTTTGATGGAATAGGCCGTATTAAAACATTGGCAGTGGAAACCGTGTGGATAAATGCGATAATGAACGATTGGGAACGCCTTCATGAATATATTTATTCTTAATAATTACACTTGTTTACCAGGAAAGCCTCGCTGAGGGGGGTGATGTCGCTACGTGTAATCCCAACTGAGCAGTTAGCAGGTAACTTTTGAGCATTGGGATGTTTGGCAAATTCCAATTATATTATATTTTGGGTTTTTTTTTTAATATTGAAAAAAAGCTGGAGAACCTAGGGGAAACCCATGAAGAACAGGGGGATAATTAATAACAACATGCAGAGAGATGTCTGGGTCGAGAATAATGTCCAGGAACTTATTGCTATGAGGCACAAGTGTGACCACTGTACCGCCCTGCCACCATAAATAAAAAATGGATCACAGTTATCATGCCCTATAAAATGCCCTGCAAAAATGAAGCATATGCCCTATAAAAAAAAGTATTTTACTGGGAACCAGAGATTGACGAAGGAGTTGACATTTTCATAGGGCTCAACGATTGCAACATCAAGAATTAACGTGTTCGTCGCATTCCGTTTTTCAAAATTTACTTGGAATGGTATTTCCCAAACAATTATATGATGTAAATTTCCCAATTTGCTTGACATTAAATCTTTGGATGAAAGAGTGACCTTTTCGCAGTGGGATTAACAGCAGAGATTCCCATCGACCCTGCTCTGTGTCACGATTCACTCGGCACGCATCCCGAGGCCCGGCATTCTGGAAGACCAACGTCCACGATGCAATGAGCACGGAGTACTGGCACCGTGCCACGGCGATGAAATAATCATGGCCCCATGCGATAGCCCCGAATCTATTCGAAAAAAACCAAACCGACCGCAGTCATGAATAAAATAGTTGTACTCTTGGACACGATGCACGAGGAAGGTCCACAAGGTCCAGAAATCCATAGGCCTCACCACAAACATAAACCTACAGTTGATCATCGATACCGGCATGCATTCATCCGGCTTCTAACATTATCCGGCGGTCCCGGGGCGATCCAGTGAAAACCGGCAAAAACGCTACAAAGGCTGTACCAGTCCGGCACCATGTGCATGACCAAAAAAATAGGTATACTTGATTTTAGTGTAAAATATTATACACAGGATATTACAAACAACTTCAACAATAAAACTACTGCACGTATATACATTTTTCATTAATAATAACTACAGTAATAAAATAACAAAAAAATTACAGTGGGATCTGGCGAAAAGTGTGTGTAACTCGGCTTTCGTCGGAGCACAGGTCTAAAGGCTGCATTAGTCTGGAGATTGTCAAACACATGTTGTTGAAACAAGAGCGTAGTGCATATCATTACCCCATGCACAGTCTTCGAGATTGGAGTGGTAAGTACTGTACAGTAAATACAGTAACTTTTTACAGAAACCTTTTAATTTTTGTCTCTTTGTTTGTTTATTTATCCCATTTTCACATAGTCAACAAATAAAAAAACACAAAAAAATGCATAAACACAACGCCTAAAAATAATTTTATACAAGAATGTGCAAAAATAAGCGATTTTTAATGATGTTATTATCTGTCGTTTTTGAAAATACGGCACCCCCTTTCCCCCTTGCCCCGAAGCTGCCGAATAATCGATGTTCAACCTTACTTCTGTCATTCGGTCGTGTAAAAAACTCTGGAGGCAATCACGCAAAGGTTCACTCGCAAAGGTCACAATGTTGCACGTGTGCTTCAAAGGGAATCCACATGCATTGAACTTCAGAGAAGCTCTCCGCTTGCCGGGGGGCGGGGCGGGAGTCTTCGTCTTCTAAAAACAATACAATATCCCTTCTCGGAGGATAATTCGGGCATAGCTCATCCAATCAAAACATAACCTTTCGAAAGTCTCTGGAGCCCAAAGGAGTAGCAGTGGTGCAAAACCAATAACGGACAGGCAGGCAATGCCACCTGCTGGCGTTTAACTGGAAATGCTGCACACACACGTTTCGGTACCGCGAGGCGAAAGAAAGATTACACGGCCGGCTAAATATGAATGGTCTTCAAACAACGCAAAAAATCGATGCAATTGTTACGCTTAGGGATTAAGCGTCCGATATCGTCAGATCTCGGAAGCAAAGCCAGTTTGTCCCTCGACAGCGATTGGAACGGGTAATTAACGTGCACGCCAGGCTGTCGCTGTGAGCCGCAGATTTGTGCCACCAAACTTGGTGGCAATAGCAATAACACATCACACGACGTGACCTTAACACGACCCCCTGCAAGCTGTCAATAAAGCCAAGTGCAATCTATTTCAGAGGGACACAATCAAATGGCAATTAAACTTCCAGGCGTGTTGGCACACGCTTGCAGCCCTGCGCTCGGGAGACTTGTCAAACTCAGCTGGCATTAATGTGGCCTCGATGTGGCAGTACAGCAAGCGGGCATATTTTTCAAATTTGTCAAAGTTACTGAGTGCCGGCTCAATGGCCCAAACTATTGAACGGTCATCAAAAAATAATAAATCATAATTAAATACATCTAAGGAAGACGATGAAAAATATTGACTAAATTGAGACTTTGCTGTTTAGAAGCACCACGTCACAATTCACAATCGCACGGCGCTCGCCCAACAGGTAACGCACACCACCGCCCCGGCACGCACGCACGCACGCAAACACGAACCTGAGCGATTCGGAGAGCGGTGTGAGCGTGCCGTCGCTGCGCTCCACCACGCGGAAGAAGTTGAGCTGGTCTCCCTCCCGGAACACGAGCAGCGTCACCTGCTTGTTCGCCGGCAACTTGTCCAGGAGCTCCTCGCGGTTCTCCTCCATGTACTCGGCCATCTCGCGCACCGCCGGGTCCTCCACCGCCACTGCGCCATACACGCGGCCGTCATTATCACTGCAGGTGTGCCGAGACTCGCACCCCCGAGTGGCCGTCCACCATAGGCACCGACGATCCAGGCGCCCAGTGAGCTATTTACGTGTTGTGAAGAATGGCCGGTGCCTGAAACGTCGCCTATTATAGATAGTTTTATTTTTGCTACTGTGCAACAGCTGCGAGATATGGAAGAGGTTGAAAAGCGTTGGTGAAGAGGTGTGGGTGGTGGCAACAATGGCTTAGGCCATGATGACATCTTGAATCCAGCACAGATGCAATTGTGGCAACGAGGATGGCCTGCTCTAATTACAATTCCCAAGAGTAGTGTGAAAACAAAAAACGAATGGACTAAAACATCCAAGAGCTCAAATAAAAATAAAAAAACATAAAACTCACCACCGTTATCACTAGTAAATGTGTAAGAGAGCTCTCCAAGTGACATCTTGGACTCATTTACAGCAGTAGAGCTTGTTTAACATCCAGTCATGGTGAAACTAACACCGGCCTCATTGTTCGGCAATGTATTATTGGTGACACTGTCCGCTGTGTAAAGACAGTGACCAATTACAAACAAACAATAGACTGTTGGCAGTGTTGAACAAGTACAAACAAGGCACTCCTAGCTTTGTTATTAACACCACCATATACTACGTGACCAAGTCAGCCAGGATCTGCCTGATCTCATCACGGTTGAAACCTGGAGAGTGCTTGCACAATGAATCTTAAAATTGGCTGCAAAAACTTACGTGTTACAGTGTTTTCTTTAGAAACTCCGCACATTCCAACATAAAAAAAAATAAGTTCCTACTGGCCACATTTATTTTAACCCCGGTAATGTGGGTGCCTCGGCACGTATATTACGCTGCAGGCGCCTCCCACTAACCCCGCCGGATTAGCGGTGCGCCCCACCCCCCCCGGCTCGGCACGGCAACAAGCGCCAAGGTCTGCTGCCCTCGGCCCAGCATTTTCGTGCTCACTGACCTTTGCGCGTGTTGATGGGTCCTCCCCTCATGGCTAGTACCAGCTTGATGGTGCAGCCATGCGTAATGCTAGGAACACACGGAGGAAAAGCGCGAAGTCATTTTACCAACACATCAAACCAAATCCCGCGACCCCCTCCCTCGCCCCCTGAGCCACCGAGCAGCAGGAGGGCGGCCAGCACTGTCAACAGATTTACTGCTCGCGTTTGTAAACAAGGTCCCCAAGCAAGGTTAGAACGGGACAGGGAGCCATAATCCACAGCATAGCCACGGGGATTTACACTTTAGCCTAGGAGTGTCAGAGTTAACACGTCATCAGTTTACATGAGGAATTTAAAAATATATGCGATGCATTATGTATAGTCAAACAAATCACTGTGGTGAAGTATGCTTAAACATCCATGACCGATATGGCATTGGGACTTCTTTGATTGCCAAAGCGTTGAAAAATATTGTTATGAATTCTAGATTTAAAGCTTTCGTGACTGCAAGGATCCATACTCGTTGGTTCTATTCGGTAAAGTCACGTAGGTAAAACATAAAACAACAAAAAGCACGACGTTACGGCCACAACACAAGCGGCCTTCATCAGGTGAAGGGATCAGGCTGTCTCGAGGACAGCGCTGGAGTGGAACACAGCCACGCTCAGACCGCGACCTGTAAGCTGTGTGCGAGGAAACAAGGTGCCTTGACAAAGGAATTAGCATAACAATTAGCATTTGATTGGCCGACTTAGCATAAAGGTGGTGTACATGCGGGTGCACATGCCAGTTGGCGCGGGGGGGGGGAGTTTCCCTATTGATGATGTGAAAAGGGAATTTAAGAGCTGCGAAAGTTTGGGTACCACTACTTGAAAAATATACTGTACCATTGAAAATTAATTACTTAAACTAATTAATTACTTAAACTAATTTTCAATGGTACAGTATATTTTTCAAGTAGTGGTACCCCAAACTTTCGCAGCTCTTAAAAATTCCATTTTCACACCATCAATAGGTAAACTCCCCCTCCCCCCCCCGCGCCAACCGGCATGTCCACCCGCATGTACACCACCTCTATGCTAAGTCGGCCAATCAAATGCTAATTTTTATGCTAATTCCTTTGTCAAGGCACCTTGTTTCCTCGCACACAGCTTACAGGTCGCGGTCTGAACGTGGCTGTGTTCCACTCCAGCGCTGTCCTCGAGACAGCCTGATCCCTTCACCTGATGAAGGCCGCTTGCGTTGTGGCCGAAACGTCGTGATTTTTGTTGTTTTATTTTTTACCTACGTGACTTTACCGAATAGAACCAAAGAATATTGTTATGATTAATCATATCAGGCAACAAGGCCCTGTACGCCCGATGACAATTTGTTTGTGTGCAAGGCGGACACAAACCCAAGCACCTCGTACAATTCCTTATTTTGCTTGAAATCTGTGAATAAGAGCTCCATAACTCATCGGATTCCTCCAGTCTAAATAAAAATTCTGATTCCGATTGAGACATAACACCTGCTTTTCAAAATGTACAGTGCACAACTGAAAAATCTTAAAAGGTTTTTTTGTCAATCCACTGCTGGATGAGAACCTCCTGATGCCTGCGCACTGCCCTCTACTGTTCACGAATATTACACGGTAATACATATTTATTCAGTAATAACAGAGTGTAACAATTTATTTTTGTTCCTGGGTAGCAAGTGTTATTTCCTAACTGCTCATGCCTCAAAAGTACAGAAAATGGCTATTCAGTTCAGTTCAGTTTATTTTTGTATAGCCCTGTGAGCCATTCGGCTCTTGAATCGGGTGCAACCACAACAAACAAAAAACACGAACAAGAAAAACATCTTATTATTATTCCCCACAAAATTTGCTCTTGTAACCAGGACAATGATATTTTGAAATTAACTTATTTTCAATGATAAAACGGGCAAATGTGTCTTTTCGTTCACAAAGTCAGAAAAAAACATGAATCAAAATTAACATGTATTTATACTAAAGTAATACAAAAATGACTACAAAAGATTTAGACACCAAGGCGCACTAACCACAGGCAGGACTGGCCACAGCGGACCGAGTTCTCTGTGGGGAGGAACAACGTCAAGTGGGAGCCACTGGTGGACCCCCAGAAGGTGCTGATGCCACCACTGCACATCAAATTGGGCCTCATGAAACAATTTGTCAGAGCTGTAGATAAGGAGTCGGCAGCCTTCAAGTACCTTCAAGACTTCTTCCCTAAGATGTCTGAGGCAAAGGTCAAAGCCGGTGTCTTCATCGGACCACAGATAAAGAAGATCCTGGAGTGGAATGAACTCCCCAAGAAGCTCACTTGTAAGGAGAAAGCAGCTAAGAACAGCTTTGTCGAAGTGGTTCGTGGCTTCCTGGGCAATCACAAGGTCGAAAACTATGTGGAGCTGGTTGAGACTACGGCACAATGGGCTATAGGATGTCCCTCAAAGTCCATATCCTTGATGCTCATCTTGATCAATTCAAGGAAAACATGGGAGCGAACTCGAAGGAGCAAGGCGAGCGCTTCTACCAGGATATACTGGACTTTAAACCCCACTACCAAGGACAGCATAACGAGAACATGATGGGCGACTAAATTTGAGGGCTGATTCATGAAAGTGATTTACAGTATTATCGTAAATCTCGAAAAACTATTCACTTCTAAATCTTTTGTAGTCATTTTTGTATTACTTTAGTATAAATACATGTTATTTTTTATTCATATGTTGTTTTTTCTGAATTTATGTGAACGAAAAGACACAAATTCGCCCGTTTTCTCATTGAAAATAGGTAAATTTCAAAATATCACTGTCCTGATCACAAAAGCAAAGTATGTGGGGAATAATAGCAATTTTCTGTACTTTTGAGGCATAAGCAATTAGGAAACAATACTTACTACCCAGGAACAAAAAAATGTTTGTTAGTGTTATTAGATGTGATTGGGAATGGCACTCCATGTAAAACATGGGACCAATTTTAATTTAACATAAAAAGCCAAATGATAAAAAGCTAATTTGTATAGAAACATTAACACACAGAACTGTATATTATTAATCTTTTGTATACAATTAATAAATATTGTGATTTTTTTTAAACATTGAAAACGAAGATATATGAATCTTAATTTGACTATTACAAAATATTTAACGCTAGTTCCATGAAACTTAACATTAAATTATTCATATTTTAACTCTGCTTCGTGTATTTCATTTATTTTAAGTAGGTTTTACATTAAAGCTGGGGGGGGGGGGTTGGTGACTCAGTAGTTACCGCACTGCACTATTAATCAGAGTTCAAACCCCAGCCACGGCTAACATCAGAGGCCTTCACCATCCAACACTAAATCTTGACTTAAAGCTTTCGTGACTGCAGGAATTCATATTCTTTGGGTCTTTCGGTGAAGTTACGTAGATAGGTTCAAAGAAAATGACAAAAACTACGATGTTCCGATCGCAACACAAGCGGTCGTTATCAGGAAAAGTCATGGTTAACATCAGAGGCCAACACAAGCGGTCGTCCTGATGACGACCACTTGTGTTGCGACCGAAACATCATAGCTTTTGTTATTTTCTTTGAACCTATCTACGTAACTTACCGAAAGACCCAAAGAATATGCATCCCACACTAACCAGTTTGGTGAAGTGCGATCAACCAAACGTGCACAAGCACGATGGCATGGGGATGCTCGCAACCAACAGTGCATTGATAAAGGCGGTGAAAATTACAATTGGATATCTCGAGCCAGAATGTATTTATATCAAACCAATTACCACTGTGCTACCCCGTCAACCCAGCGTGGAGCTGTGGTAATACTCGTGGCCTTACAGCAAGCAGTGCTCGGTTAGAATTTCAACTCGCACAACTTTCCTCTGCGGAGGTTGCATATTTCCCCCCTATTTCGTATTGGTTTCCTCCGGATTTTCCAGTTTAAAACATCATACAATGTAACTGGTATTGGCCAAAAACATCCCGATGCTGAAAAATCACCTACAAATGACTGAATTGGGATTACACATTACAACATTGTCCCCTTCCTGTGAAAGGTTGGCAGGACCCTGCTTAAAAAGTATTGAGCATCTATGAGGTTTCTCTTGATCTGCAATTAACCAACAGGAATATTGATGGTGTTAAAAAAAAACTTACTGGTAGTCATGCAAACAGTAGTCATCCTCCAGTTCAATGTTTCTCCAAATCAGATGCTGCTGTGTGATGGGAATGCCTATGACACACACATGTTCACAAAGGTCATTAAGATAAGCTACAATAACAATTCCTTCAACACCATCAAAACCACCATCAACAGACAGAAATTACTAATGCTAATGCCTGGAGATCGACACTTTCATCAATATCACAGACATGGGCATTCGGTTATGGCTGGCACTGACAAACATGCGGCACCTCAGAAAAGGGGGCCCCCCATCTCGACCAGAACAAGAACACAAACTGTTGGCCGTGAAGAGCGGACCGACAAATTGGCCAATTAAAGTATTTTTCCAATTAATAAAACAAGTAAATGTGTGGCTTTATTATAGGTTGAAAATAAAATTAATACTAAAACATAAGTCAAAAATCACATGCCACATTCTTCGCTGTCTTACAAGATAAATCAAATATTAAGTATGCTACTAATGGTTAAATCAATGGCCCTTCTTCACAGCGGAATTATTTGGTCGATATATAACAATGTATATTATAAATACAGGCCTCACTTAACATTCGAGCCTCACTTAACAGTGAAGCCTCACTTGGTCTCAATTTTTGCCATGAGGGCTCAGAATTTAGGGGTTTTTTTAATGCTAGCAATACGCGAGGCAACGGGTGAATCCGACAAAAACCTCCACCATATTGCGGCTCAAGTTTCATAAATGCACGTGAGCCACTAAACCCACGCGTTCCATCACAGGTTGACGCAAATACACACTCGTTGTATCCATATTGTCAGCATCAACCCATTAAATACAACACATTGAAGCTTCAAACGTTTTAGTGCAAGTCAGTTAGGAAGGTACCATTTGGAGGCACGGATAAGAGACAAGGAAGAATGTCGTCACAAGTCAGAAGTTTATTACCCGAGTAAAGGCAAATTAACTATACAAATCTTGCCTTAAGATAAAAATGGCATAATGTGAGAGAGGTTTCAGGAACTGAAGAGGAAACGAACAGAAGTGATACGACCAAGTAGCGGTTACATGGTGCAGAGACGTGATCATGGAGGCGGAACAAAAGGGAGTGCTTTAAATTACCGAGATGAGGACCCTGGTGGTGGTGAGGAATGAAGGAGCCTTAGTTCTGACTTAGCGGGAATTTCTAATAATGTATTGTACTTCTACGGTGCGGGCATGTGGTGTGGAAGGGGCCAAAGAAGATGCGATTAGACGATTATCCGAGGGAGGTGAAATCCAGAGTGAGAAGGAAGAATGCGGTGGAATGAAACATGAGGGACAACGAATGCGACTCAATAGGCCGCAATAAAAGTTAATGTTTAAAGACAATCCTAGCAGCCAAACTCCACGCGGCAATGGGACTGTTTGGTATGAAAGAAAGCGCGTACCTTCTAGCCGCTGTATCTTGGCCTTCACAGACATGACGCTCTCGAAGGGCGAGACGCGGATTTCGAAAAACGTCCCGGTGAGGGTCTCAATGAGCACCTCCATTGTCTCGTAGAAGGGGAAGCTGTAGCTCACGTACGGGCTCTCCTCGCTGTTGTAATAGGGCGGCTCCCGCTTGTCCATGGCGGCAGGCACACGAGGATAAACACAGGCTGCCACTGGGCGGGGGAGAACCAGGGCCTCCACTGTGCAACCCGCAAGAGAGGGGAGTGGCGCGCAGCGCCCGGGATAGATAAATGAGCGGCGGGGGGGGGTGTCTGAAGTCCTGTGAGCGTGGCACGGGGAGTCGGACGTCCCAAGAGTTGGGGACTAGTTAACCACAAGGGCTCTCTGGAGATTCGGGCGGACGGGTGGGTGCTTTATACTCCGCTCCACGGGGCCCGACGAGCGATGTACGGGGTGGGAATCCCACTGGTCACCGCTCAGAGACGCGTGTCGTTCGCGGAGAACACGACCCCGGTACTCGGGCTCCGATCTCCGAGCTCCGGGGATCCCCCCACGCGTCTGGCTCCAAAGCCCAAGACACAATCCGGTTGCCGAGGCGAACGAGCGAAGAGACGCGCCTCCCGAAGGAGGCCAACAGCATCGAGGCCTCGCGCTGCTGGATGATGCCTGGCCGAGACGCCGCTCGCCTGGATTCGAGCCCGGCAGACGCGTGCCCCGCCCGGCGGAGTTAACAAAGCGATGCCGGGTCTCCTCAAAGTGGACGCAGGCCCTTACTTATATACGACGACAGCGGCGCCGCGTGCCGACATAGGGCCCCCACCCCGACCCCGACCCCACCGGGCTGAGTTTGTCCGCGCGGAGCGAGAAGATCGGAGAGCGATGCGGCTCTCCTCGCCTCGTTGTCGACGGCTCGCCGCTCACCGCCGCACTCGTTCGAGCCGCTCGGTACCGCCGATCGCCTCCATCACGGTGACCCGGATGCTCCCCTTCATGATCAGCATCATCACTAACAACAATAGCCACGTGACCACGCCGAACCTGCCCTGCACCCGCGTGCGCTGGCACCGAAATGGGTGGCAAGTTTCATCGACATACACACATACACAAATCTATAGCTGTAAACCCACACGGTTTAATCCCGTATTCTTGTACAGGGAAATTGAGTTTTGAGGTTCATAAGGCGTACAGCCGTTTCAATAGGGGCAAACATGTGTCTGTGTCTATTTGTTTGTGTTTTCCCTTGTGATGGGACTTTTGTAGGATGAACGTTGAGATTTATAATGGCACGGGTTGATCAATGAGGTTTGCATTGGCGTGTAATAAGGTAGGCAATGAGAAGGGGTTGACAGGTCTGCAAAGGGCACCTTTTGCACCGAAATCGGTACACTCCACACCCAAGGCCATAGCCATGGAGTCAACATTGGGGGGGGGTCAAATCCTCCAGGGGGTCTGGGGGTCCCCCCCCCCAGAAAAAAAATCTGCCACCCTTGCTCATGATGATACTCGCTGTGAATGAAAGCTGAATGTAATAAAACTGCTTGCACTTTAATCAAAGAAACACTCATAATCAGTTCAACACGTAGGCTTTCGCGACCAATATTATTCATAATAAAGGTTTTTGGGTTAGATCGCGTTTATTTATAAATGTGTCGTAACCCTCCACCACCCGACACGGCCAATCAGCAAAAAAAGTGTCACGTTGACAAAAGACAAATAATTCACTACTTTAGCCCACCGGTGTGTTGAAGAGTGAATCCACATTTACAGTTTGAGTACGACGTTTCGCTGGTAAATACATCCAGCATCATCGGGCAATGCCCGATGATGCTGGATGATGCTTATGAAAAACACTCATAATGCTATTTTTAAGCAAGTACCATACGAATGTGCAATAAATGAAAGCTACTGTCTACAAATAGGACACATGCAGAGCAACATAGATGATTTACACTTTACTCAGACTTCACGTGGGCTTTCTGACAAATATAACGTTATAAAGACATTAACGTTTGTTCAATACGCCCGTGAGCGCCATTGTTGGTCGCTGGGTGAATGTGTGAGCTCATTAACTTTCCAAGTAACTTTCCAAATGGTTGATTGATTAGCAATCGCAAATCGGTCCATTTTCACAAAAAAAAGTTTGTTTCCACTCGACAGTGAGATAGCCTACGGAACACTCATATTACATTCTAGTTGTCCACCTTTTTCATAAATGTTAAAGTAATGAAATGGAGAGACAGGACAGTGTTTGACATTGATTGTCCCTCAGTTGAGCAATGGCTTCTGCTGGGGTACGGCAACTGCAGTACACCGTAATACTAGAACCGGTAGTAGTAGTAATAATGTCAATTTGTTAAGTTTAGTTATGATTATGCTTACATTTGCAAATTATTATTTCGGACGGCGGTGCGTGGTTGCCCGTCATAGCATAGCAATTTAAAAAATATATATTTTTAATATCAATGTATGGGGGGGGGGGGGCATTTTGAGCATATTTGAATATTGGGGGGGATATGTCCCCCCCAAAATATATATTATAATTACGGCCTTGTCCACACCACACGCACACACAATGTACGGAATGAGTGCGCAACATAACAGGGTTTTTTTTTGTGTGGGATCCCAGTTTGGCACTGTACAGTAATTACTTCTCCAGTAAACATGGAACGTCGTGCCAATGTTGTGCCAACGTTCCATGTTTACTTTTCAGCATGGAATGGGCATTCCAGAATTAGCATGTGATATTCCGTGCTTTTTCCATTGTGTTTTTTATTGTTTGTTTTTAAATATACATATGAAGCAATATAAATTACATAAGCTAAACATCGGCTAGACTGTAGGTCTTTATGGAAATACTTGAGGTTTGTTAAGAAACGGATTATGTATACAGAGACTCCTGTACTTATGAACATTCGACTTACGAACTTTCAGAGATACGAACAAACCTGTCCGTATGGCCAGTTGCCCATTCGGACCGAGAGTCGTAAGTTCAACCACCACGCAACAGATGGCGGCGGTTGCATCTACATCTGTAGACGTGAAGAACCAGTGGCATTTACAGAACATGAAGAACCAGTGGCATCTACATCTGCAAAACATGAAGAACCAGTGGCGTCTACATCTGCAGAACGTGAAGAACCAGTGGCATCTACATCTGCAGAACATGAATAACAAATAGCATCTACATTTGCAGAACGTGAAGAACCAGTGGCATCTACATCTATCTGCAGAACGTGAAGAACCAGTGACATCTACATCTGCAGAACGTGAAGAACCAGTGGCATCTACATCTGCTGAACGTGAAGAACCAGTGCCATCTACATCTGCAGAACATGAAAAACAAATAGCATCTACATCTGCAGAACGTGAAGAACCAGTGGCATCTACATATATCTGCAGAACGTGAAGAACCAGTGACATCTTCATCTGCAGAACGTGAAGAACCAGTGGCATCTACATCTGCAGAACGTGAAGAACCAGTGGCATCTACATCTGCAGAACGTGAAGAACCAGTGGCATCTACATCTGCAGAACGTGAAGAACCAGTGGCATCTACATCTGCAGAACGTGAAGAACCAGTGGCATCTACATCTATCTGCAGAACGTCAAGAACCAGTGGCATCTACATCTGCAGAACATGAAGAACAAATAGCATCTACATCTGCAGAACGTGAAGAACCAGTGGCATCTACATCCGCAGGAGATTATACAAGGGTTTAATAGTTTAGTTTAATAGTTTACTTTAAATGTTTACTTTAATAGCTTAGTTTAATAGCTTAGTTTAATAGTTTACTTTAATAGTTTACTTTAATAGTTTAGTTTAACAGTTTAGTTTAAAAGTTTAGTTTAATAGTTTAGTTTTAGTTTAATAGTGCAGTGAACCATCGCTTCCCCCGAACCCTCAACATAACAAAAGACGGATTAACTTAGCCCCGCAGGCCATCGTCGTCCATCGCCCCCTGCTTGGCCCCCCCACCTTAACCTGTATATAGGCTCGAGAGTCAAAGAGCTCCCCACTTGATGCAGCTATCTTGCTGTGACTGTTCCACCTGAAGACGGAAGCTTGTGTTGCCTCCGAAACGTCGTGATTTGATTTAGTTGTTTTCTTTTATTTAAAATTTTATTTTACCTACGTGACTTTACCGAAAAAACCAAAGAGTATGAATCCTATTTCATATTCTTAGCTCTTTCGGTAAAGTCACGTTGAAGGGAAACAATAAATTAATAAAATATATCAAACAATAAAAATTCTTCATAATAAAGGTTTTTGGGTTAGATCGCGTTTATTTATAAATGTGTCGTAACCCTCCACCACCCGACACGGCCAATCAGCAAAAAAAAGTGTCACGTTGACAAAAGACAAATAATTCACTACTTCAGCCCACCGGTGTGTTGAAGAGTTAATCCACATTTACAGTTTGAGTACGACGTTTCGCTGGTAAATACATCCAGCATCATCAAGCAATTCGCCAGAATGGTAAAGCCCTCGCTTGCTCCCGGTTTTTATATAGAGCAGCAGGGTGACGTCATCACTTAACTCATATCAGGTGCATTGATTAGAGGCGGAGGGGTATTGTAATTATATAATCGATTAGTAATCAGTCATTGGTTATGATTAGTAATGAGTTGTAGATTAGTAATTCTTTAAATGTAATGTGTATTATTTAATAATACGCTTCCAGGCCGCACTAAGCCGGTAGCTGTCAGAGCGATTAAAGTTATTCTTGTTCCTCTCAATTTCAATGGATTCTCTAATTAGTCTTTGCCAGTAATAATTCATTTTGCACACCACTGCAACATTGTCAAAATCAATTGAGTGTCCTTGTTGACAAGCATGTTCTGCCACTGCCGACAGTTGTGTTTGAGATAATTTAATATTTCTCTGATGTTCTTTTAGTCTTACGCTGATGTTACGTCCCGTCTGCCCAATGTAGCAGCTGCCACATGAACAATTAATCCGATATACACCTTCTGTTGATAGTTCAGGTAATGCATCTTTAGTGCAAGATACTAGTTTTTGAATTTTGTGTACTGTACCAAATCTTACTGTAATGTTTTGCTTTTGCAGAACACGGGCTAATTTGTCAGTTACTCCTGAGATATATGGAATTTTTATTGCAGAACATGCTTGTCAACAAGGACACTCAATTGATTTTGACAATGTTGCAGTGGTGTGTAAAACGAATTATTACTGGAAAAGACTAATGAGAGAATCCATTGAAATTGAGAGGAACAAGAATAACTTTAATCGCTCTGACAGCTACCGGCTTAGTGCGGCCTGGAAGCGTATTATTAAATAATACACATTACATTTAAAGAATTACTAATCTACAACTCATTACTAATCATAACCAATGACTGATTACTAATCGATTATATAATTACAATACCCCTCCGCCTCTAATCAATGCACCTGATATGCGTTAAGTGATGACGTCACCCTGCTGCTCTATATAAAAACCGGGAGCAAGCGAGGGCTTTACCATTCTGGCGAATTGCTTGATGATGCTGGATGTATTTACCAGCGAAACGTCGTACTCAAACTGTAAATGTGGATTAACTCTTCAACACACCGGTGGGCTGAAGTAGTGAATTATTTGTCTTTTGTCAACGTGACACTTTTTTTGCTGATTGGCCGTGTCGGGTGGTGGAGGGTTACGACACATTTATAAATAAACGCGATTTAACCCAAAAACCTTTATTATGAATAATATTGGTCGCGAAAGCCTACGTGTTAATAAAAATTCTCACGACGTTTCGACCATAACGCGTATGCGTTTCGACCATAACGCGTATGCGTTATGGTCGAAACGTCGTGAGAATTTTTATTGTTTTATATATTTTATTGTTTTCCCTTCAACGTGACTTTACCGAATATGAATTACTGCAGTCACGAAAGCTTTAAATCTAAATTTAGTATGAATCCTTGCAGTCACGAAAGCTTCAAATCTAGAGTTAAGAGATTATACAACTTTTAAAGTCATTCCACGTGTTTAGTGTACACGCCGTACAACGTTTTTGAAATCGACACGAGTAAAGTTGGGACTTACGAACACATCGACTTACGAACACATCGACTTACGAACAGACCTCTGGAACCGAACTCGTTCGTAAGTAGAGGAGTCCCTGGAAACCGGGGGGATACGTCACGTTTCAATCCCCCCACCCCTCCACACACCCAGAGCTAAGGCCCGCCCCCATGGCCCCGCCCCGTACGACGCCGTCCAATCCATAGAGCGGCAGGACGGTGTCGCAATTGCGTGGCCACGCCCACAGTTGCCAGGGTAACGGCAGTCGGCGCGTGTCGGAGGAGTGGAAATTCTTTCTTGATTTGAAACTTTCGTGACTGCAGGAATTTATACCCTCTGGTTCTTTCTGTGAAGCCACGTAGGTAGAGACCACCTTGGTTGTCCCACCTGATGACGATTGCTTGTTTTGCGATCGAAACGTCGTGATCTGTTATTTTTTCTACCTACGTGGCTTTACCGAAAGAACCAAAGAGTATGGAAAGTCTTTGTGTACCGAAGCGGAAATCCGATGAGCTACAGAGCTATTCTTCACAGGTGTCCAAGTCAGGGCGCCTCAGAACGTTACACCAACAAACGATACAAAAAGTATAGGAAAGGTAAACAAATCAGTTTTTAAAGAAACATACCACTAAAAGGAAAGGTTGTTTCAAAAAGATGGACCCGATTTGAAATCTTTGAATCTTTGAAATTGGGTCCATCACTTTCAAACACCCTGGATTTATTTTTGTATTACCAGGTAAAGCTCACTGAAGCATTACTTTTTTTTCAGAAGCGACCTGACCACAAAATCATAAGCTCAACAAAGTGGCTTGTAAATGTTCATAGTTCGCATGGATCTAAAACGCTTTAAGCTAATTTAACTTACAAGATACATATATGATTGAAACAATCTACTGTAGTCTCTCGATTGTCCGCGTGCGGTTAAATCCGATTTGCGGATGAACCGCGCACCTGAGATTTTGACATAAATTAATAAGTCTTCTTAGATTTTCCCTTCAGCCCAAATTAATAACCTAAACACATATTCTTGGTTCTTTCGGTAAAGTCACGTTGAAGGAAAACAATAAAATAATAAAATATTATAAAACAATAAAATTCTCACGACGTTTCGACTGCAACACAAGCAGTCATTTATCAGGTGTGCAGTCGAAACATCGTGGGAATTTTATTGTTTATATATTTTATTATTTTATTGTTTCCCTTCAACGTGACTTTACCGAAAGAACCAAAAATATGAATCATTGCTGTCACGAAAGCTTTAAATAAAAAAACTAGACACAGTTAGATATATTCTTAGCTCTTTCGGTAAAGTCACGTTGAAGGGAAACAATAAAATAATAAAATATACATAAAACAATAAAAAAAAAATTCACGACGTTTCTACGAGACTTTACCGAAAGAACCAAGAATATGAATCCCTGCAGTCACGAAAGCTTTAAATCAAAATATAATTTATACCTATAATAGTGTGGGTTTTTGTTGCATAGATATCCACGCTAAATGGATATTATTGGACTATCCGTGATTTTGAATCATCCGCTGCCGTCCTCTCCGTCATTATCGCGGATAATCGAGAGTCGATGGGTACTTGATAACCAATCACGCGTCATCTGTTTTACATGAAACGGCGAATCGTCCAATATAACGGTATGCGTATTTTAATGGTGTGGTGCAAACCAAGTGGCCTTTACTTGTTAAGATTTTTTAAAATGTTAAGTTTTATTTGTATCTTCTTGGTTCTTTCGGTAAAGTCACGTGGAAGGGAAATAATAAAATAATAAAAAATAAAATACAATTCTCACGACGTTTCGGCCACAACAGAAGTAGCCGTCCTCAGGTGAAGAAACAAAACTGTCGGAATTGGAGCGCTGTCTTTCCGACAGTTCTGTTTCTTCACCTGAGGACGGCTACTTGTGTTGTGGCCGAAACGTCGTGAGAATTGTACGATGTTTTATTTATATTATTTTATTATTTCCCTTCTACGTGACTTTACCGAAAGAACCAAGAAGATGAATCCCTGCAGTCACGAAAGCTTTAAATCGAAATTTGATTTGCACGTTTATTTATTTATTTACCGTTGCTATACTTTGCACTCCTATCCATTTTTTTATCGTTTGTTGTAACGTTCTGACCCACCCCGACTGGAATGTCTGTGAAAAAGAGCTTAACAGCTCATCGGATTTCTCCTGTAGTATAAATAAATATTCTGATTCTGATGTTACTTTCCCACGCCAGGGAGCTCTCTAAGAGCCCCCCTCTCTATGGAGTGCTTGACCTTATACCCTTGGACGCCGGCAAGTAAGGGGCCGTCCATAAATGACGCCACGCGATTTTGGACGATTTTTGACCCCACTCATCACACGGCGTCACAAAAAGTCAGACCCCCCCCTAAAATATAACGTGACAAAGCTCTGCCCCCCCTCCCCAAATAAAACATGCTTCAAATCGTTTAAAACTATTATCATTGTAGTGCATATTTAATATGGCGCTGCACTCTGATGTTGTAGGAGAAAACATTTTTTCGGTAAAGTCACGTAGAAGGGAAACAATAAAATAATAAAAATATAAAATAATAAAATTCTCACGACGTTTCGACTGCAACACAAGCAATCATCATCAGGTGTGAAAACCACAACAAGAAAATTTGAAAAAAGTGTTTTTCACACCTGATGATGATTGCTTGTGTTGCAGTCAAAACGTCGTGAGAATTTTACTGTTTTATATTTTTATTATTTTATTGTTTCCCTTCTACGTGACTTTACCGAAAGAACCAAGCATATGAATCCCTGCAGTCACGAAAGCTTTAAATCAAAAGAGAAAACATTTATTAAAAAGTATATTTAATTAAGTTGCGCATTTTTATGTGACGTCACATTTCTCACCCCCCCCCCCTCGTCACACATCGTCACAAATGTCTGACCCCCCCCCCCCCCCCAGGTGCGTGACGTCATTTATGGACGGCCCTCCAACGTGCTTGAAAGAGGTGGGCATACGGCGTTACCCACACTTCACCTCACCTCACGCGCGACCCTGACGATCGGCTGTGGTGTCCCCACGTCGTTGTTGAAAGCCCAGCGTGCTGGAACGCCCACCGCGCCATTTACAGCGGTCCCTCCGACGGCACAAGGCATAGAGTTGGTTGTAATAAGGGGCCGTTCATAAATGACGTCACGCACCTAGGGGGAGGGGGGCGGTCAGACATTTGTGACGATGTGTGACAAGGGGAGGGGGGGGGGGTGAGAAATGTGACGTCACATCAAAATGCGCAACTTTAAATAAATATAGACAATACGTTCTACTTAATTAAATAGATTTTGTAATAAATGTTTTCTCCTACAACATCAGATTGCAGCGCCACATTAAATACGCACGACAATGACAATAGTTTAAAGCGATTTGAAGCAAGTTTTATTTCAAAAATGGAAATATGGTTTGGGGGGGGGGGCAAGAGCTTTGTGACGTCATATTTGACGGGGTGTCTGACTTTTTGTGACGTCGTGTGACGAAGGGGGGGGGAGTCAAAAATCGTCAAAAATCACGTGACGTCATTTATGGACGGCCCCTAATAACAATTGCATGCGCGTAGCGCTCTCGTCATCGCGGCGACGAGTCAAAAGAGGTCAGGGGAATTGATACGTCGAGGGGGCAGGTCTAAAAAGGGGGAGGGTAAGGGGGCTCGTTCCTCCCCCGTCCAATCACAGCGGGATCTCGACCGCCACGTGGTGTGCCAAGCTCCCGGTGACGTAACGACGGGAGTCACGTGAGCCCATATAAGGGCGGCGGTCGCTGGAGAGCACCGCTCAGACCTCGCCGACGCGCGAGGAGGGTCGATGGCGGTGGTGCTGATGCTGCTTACCGCAACGCGGCTCCGTTAAACGTACAAATTATCGTCTCTCTTAAGGGGGGTGACACGGTTGCCTCGAGCGAATGCACCACGCAAACATTGTGCTGGGGTGGGTGGTTTCCCGCCCCCTCTCCCCAACTCTTCAAAGTTTGGGAGTTTAAGGCGATAAGCCCCGTCGGCTTTATCGGTGATATCGGCTCTGCGAGGTGCGTGAGGCGCTCGGAGAAGGATATTTATTTGAATTGGTGTGCAGCTGAAGAGTTGAAACTAAGAGGCAAGCTGACCGAGTTTTAAAGCGCGCTCCGGGAATGGATTAAGGGTAAGGAAAAGGCGACGTTTCGGACCGTGGTCCCTTTTTTCACGGCACGTTGTTTGGCTTCATCCGTGTGCAATAACGTGGCGTTATTAACGTGGCGTTATTGACGAATGTGTTGAGTTTTTTTTTTACGTGTGCGTGTGTGTAACTTGTACCGAGCCAACACAACCGAAATGTTTAACTTGAGGTGAGGTCGGTTAATGTCTGGACAAAATGTACAATTGGTGTACTGGTGTACAGTGCATGTGTTATGTATACAGTACGCCTACGCCGTAATGCATGTACGATACACGGCGGGCGAAATGCGTGTACACATTCGCTATGCCAATTTTTTTTAACGTATGATTTAGCAAGCGTTACTCGCGACGACACACGCAACACAGAAGGCATTCGCGATGACTAATTGCACCGAATATTAAATATCGTCGTGGTCGTTTTGCGCACTGTACCGTGTGCGACAATGCAGCGCCAACATAAGGCGACGCTTCGTCGCCGAACGCACGGTGCTGGTTACTACTGCACACATTGTGTTTGAGTGCAAAGTACGGTACACACGTTTTAACAGTGATACATGATAGGGCACCGAGGTGGGTGCCATCTGCCTAACCTGCGTGTGGAATCGCAACAGCGCCGTGATGCGCGCGTGTGTCGATGGGTGGTGCGTTCAACAGCTGCCCACAGAGAGAGAGAGAGCGGGGGGCGATCCACACACCGCGGGCCACTAATGCGTGCGCATGTAAACACAGCCCCACGCTGCCTGCCCTGTCATCCTACACTCATGCTGTACACTCATCCTGTACACTCTCTACTCCGCCCGCTCCCTCCGCTCAGCCCGCTCCCTCCACTCTCCCCGCTCCCTCCACTCAGCCCGCTCCCTCCACTCAGCCCGCTCCCTCCACTCAGCCCGCTCCCTCCACTCCGCCCGCTCCCTCCACTCAGCCCGCTCCCTCCACTCAGCCCGCTCCCTCCGCTCCCTCCACTCAGCCCGCTCCCTCCACTCAGCCCGCTCCCTCCGCTCAGCCCGTTCCCTCCACTTCTCGTAGCTCCCTCCACTCTCCCAGCTCTCTTCTCTCCTCTCCCAGCTCTCTTCTGTCCTCTCCCTGCTCTTTTCTCCACCTCTCCCCGCTCTTTTCTCCACCTCTCCCCGCTCTATTCTCCCCTCTGCCAGCTCTCTTTTCCACTCTCCCCGCTCTCCCCTATTCCAGGGGTGGGCAATCTCATGTCCACCGGCCGTAGCCGACCCGCGACTTCAATTCACACGACCCCAAGGAGGCCTACCAAACGATATCTTTCCGTTCCTGGCTGGTCTTCGAATTCGACTCCACTCTGCTCTCGTCATCCTCTACTCTAAACTCTCCCCCGTGTCTCCACTCGTCCTCTCCTCTCTGCAGTACACTCTGCTCTCTCCATTCCACCAGCAATCGCCCCTCCATATCCCTCTCTTTGCTCCTCCTCCCCTTCAGTGTTAATTGATTTATTGTAGTCGAAGGCTTGATAACTTTCATCCACTCATCGTCACTGTTAACTTTGCAATCCGTAAGCCAATTTGATGGCGAGTATATTTGTCACTAATTTGGTAAACACATTAACACTTGAAACCCATCGCAGCAACAGGAGAATGTGCGCAGGCTGGAAACGAATAGATGTAACAACAACACGCAAAGGTGCTGCACTTGATGCCCACAAAGGGCAGGAAGGCCCGACTCCCATCCGTAAGCCTTTGGGTACTTGCAGTGCAGAGAAACGCAAAACCCTCGAGCCGAGGCGGGAACAGGGGCAGGAGGCCGGCAGCACGGGTGGCAAGGGGGGGGGGACACGAGTCCCAGACCATGGGGGCAGCGGAGAAGAATGAGCGCCCTGTGTGAATCTTTGGACAACAAATATAAAAAATGACAACGAATCACAATGTGTGTTCGTTAAGAGTGTAGTGTGCGATGATGAACGTGTGTGTGTGTGGATTGGTCTGGGTGTTAATTCATTCCAATATTTTGTTAGGCTGGGCAGTCTCTCATCTACTGCTCTCAATATGTGTAAAGTACGTTTACTCTCTGCCGCATGTGTTTTCACTTGATTAACATGAACAGGAATCGTGCCAGACACCGCAATGCAGGACCTTTCTGTAAACCCGTCTTGCTTTCCTGGGGAAACGATCATAATAATACAGGAGCAAAGGAGTTGCTTCTAGATGGAGCGAATGGATATTGTTATTAGGGGGGAGTGGACAATTTGGGCAGCTGTAAGATAAGCTCTAATCGTCATGAAATTGGTACTCATTTTGTGGCTCTGACTGTTATCCTGGAACCCAACTTTTGTGCTGCCAACTTGCCATTAAGGCTTATGTCATCAATAGTGCCAGACAGTTTGCCAATATTGCATTCTCAGCCAGTCTCGTTTTGTGTTAAATTTGGTCAAACTGGTTCTCGCTGCCTGTGAACTCCATCCCCGTCTCAGGAATGTTTTAGTCGCTTAATTCTTACCTAATGCCGGCGGCGTGGTGTGGTGGAGTGGTTGGCATGGGCCCTGGTGCAAGGCATAACATGGGGGTCCTGCCTTTCTGTCCGCCTTCCCGGGTAAAGGGGTCTTTGTAGCCCGGCACCTGGGACCCGCCAGCCTCTGATCCCTGGTGCAGTTGCACTCCCTGCACACTCGATGTCTGTGCCACTCTGTGATAGACCGGTGGTCAGTGTGGGCCGGTGTATGATGGCCCTTCAGACGACAACAGACGAGTCTACCGGCACTGTGCAGAACGGTTCCTATCCCTATGCTACACTGTTTCCACAGAGGGGGAGACAATGAGTGTCAGAGTGAAAGGGTGTGAGGGTTTGTACGAGCGTGTGTGTGAGTAGCAGTGAACGTTATCTGCGGAGCGAATAGGTTTCATACTTCTACATTTACGCTTTCACCACTGATAATTAATCCTGCCACTGTGCACCAATCTAGAAAGCATGGTGAAGGAAGGAAGATGATGAGCAATAATGGCAAACCGGCCTGCACTATTGATGGCATAAGCTGTGAGTTGGCAAAACACGGTTTGGGTAGCAGGTGACAACCTTCATAAGGGGCCATCCATTGAGTAGGTACGCAAAAATCTGTAAAATAAAAACTTGACCCCTCTCCCCCTCCCTGTATGCACGCGTACTTTTTACCCCCCACCTGCGTACGTATGCTTGACGCACCCCCCCCCCCCCGAACCCTATAGAAAGGCCGATATTTAATCTATGCAGAAACGATAAAGGATTAATAATATTAACGTGTTTAAGCAAACAGTCCACCGCTGGCTGCTTTAAAGAATTAAGTTGCTTACCTTTAAAAAGTTTGTCTTGTGTCCGCTAGGTTAAAACGCCGACTGAACCCAGTGGGACAGGTGACGCATTCTAGGGGTTTCGTCAACACGCGCAATGTCAGACTGAAGCACAGCAGCGTGATAGCTGAAGTCAGGGGTACAGTGGCATACAAGTGGACACCTCTCCCACAGTCCTACTTCTTCCAGTAGTACTTGTCTGACAACTGAAGAAACTGAACTGTGGCTCATTTGAAGGCCAATGTAGACATTATTATCGAGGCTTCACCCCCCCCCCCGCCCGTTTCCTATGCATACGTACATTGTCAGTAGACCCCCCAGACGCAAGCGTACGCATTTGGGTTAACCCCCTTCCCCCCTCCATGCGTACGTACTAAATGGATGGCCCCTAGCCACAACATCTCCTAACCTCCATTTACAGCTTTTTTTGTTAGATCTAACCTCATTGTTCGATTACTTTGTTTTTTCACTGTGACACAGGTACGCTCGCCACATTGAATAATAATATGAATAATGCCGTTGATTTTTTTTTTCCACCAAAGCCTCACTGAGCCTCAAGCCTCAAGGGGTGCCCTGCTGCATTGGAGGGTTTGGCAAATTCCTTGTGTTGCTTCGTGTGGGAGGAATCAGAAAATCCCATCTCCTGCCTCACATCTCAGCCCCACGCCTACAACACCTGGCAAGGCCAGATGGTGATGGGCCAAGTACTAACCAGGCTTCAGCCTGCTTAGCTGCAGAGCTCTTACGAGACCGGGCACATTCCGGGCACGTTCTGAGTGATTTGTTACAGAGGTCATGTCAATAGCTCTATCTTTCCCTTTGGTGCTCTTGGCTGTTTGAAAATCCCGCTAATGTTTTACGCAGTGCAAATATGGGAACAGATAATCATCCCAGGTAGTAGGCTGCCAAAAAAAACATCGAATAAAGATTTACAAGCTAAGATGAAATAATTACAGGGGGAAAAAAACATTCACCCACACTCATTAATTAAAAACAAGTATTGACAAGCAATTCTAGATTTAAAGCTTTCGTGACTGCTAGGATCCATACTCTTTGGTTCTATTGGGTAAAGTCACGTAGGTGAAAATAAAATAACAAAAAAAATTAACAAAAAATCACGACGTTTCGGCCACAACACAAGTGGCCTTCATGACGTGAAGGGACGAGACGTTTCGGCCACAACACAAGCGGCCTTCATCACGTGAAGGGACTAGACTGTCTCGTCCCTTCACGTGATGAAGGCCGCTTGTGTTGTGGCCGAACGTCGTGATTTTTTGTTAATTTTTTTGTTATTTTATTTTCACCTACGTGACTTTACCCAATAGAACCAAAGAGTATTGACAAGTATTTCTATGGAGAATGTAAACAAAGCAGCAGATAAACAGACATTACAACTTTTTTTTATATTTGTCCACATAAAAGCAAAATTTTATTCCACATCACACCACGCAGCCTTCTGTGAGTGTATAATTCGACAACATTGGTTTTACGTGATAACTCTGGACAAGTTTCGTCATTGAAGTGTCAAACCAGGACTCCTAACTAATGGAATACATCCTTACCTATAACCATCTGGCAGTTCACCAGCATTGATTCAAAACAAGCCTGACTGCTGATGAGACGCAGAATGTCCAAACTGATCCAGAGTTTGAGTTAATGTACAGTGAGGGAAAAAGTATTTGATCCCCTGCTGATTTAGTACGTTTGCCCACTGACAAATAAATGATCAGCCTATAATTTTAATGGTAGGTTTATTTGAACAGTGAGAGACAGAATAACAACAAGAAAATCCAGAAAAACGCATGTCAAAAATGTTATAAATTGATTTGCATTTTAATGAGGGAAATAAGTATTTGACCCCCTCTCAATCAGACAGATTTCTGGCTCCCGGGTGTCTTTTATACAGGTAACGAGCTGAGATTAGGAGCACACTCTTAAAGGGAGTGCTCCTAATCTCAGCTTGTTATCTGTATAAAAGACACCTGTCCACAGAAGCAATCAATCAGATTCCAAACTCTCCACCATTGCCAAGACCAAAGAGCTCTCCAAGGATGTCAGGGACAAGATTTTAGACCTACACTAGGCTGGAATGGGCTACAAGACCATTGCCAAGCAGCTTGGTGAGAAGGTGGCAACAGTTGGTGCGATTATTCGCAAATGGAATAAACACAAAATAACTATCAATCTCCCTCCGCCTGGAGCTCCATGCAAGATCTCACCTCGTGGAGTTGCAATGATCATGAGAAGGGTGAGGAATCAGCCCAGAACTAGACTGGAGGATCTTGTCAATGATCTCAAGGCAGCTGGGACCAGAGTCACCAAGAAAACAATTGGTAACACACTACGCCGTGAAGGACTGAAATCCTGCAGTGCCCACAAGGTCCCCCTGCTCAAGAAAGCACATATACATGACCTGATGCCCGTCTGAAGTTTGCCAATGAACATCTGAATGATTCGGAGGACAACTGGGTGAAAGTGTTGTGGTCAGATGAGACCAAAATGGAGCTCTTTGGCATCAACTCAACTCGCCGTGTTTGGAGAAGGAATGCTGCCTATGACCCCAAGAACACCATCCCCACTGTCAAACATGGAGGTGGAAACATGCTTTGGGGCTGTTTTTCTGTTAAGGGGACAGGAGAACTTCACTGCGTCAAAGGGACGATGGACGAGGCCATGTACCATCAAATCTTGGGTGAGAACCTCCGTCCCTCAGCCAGGGCATTGAAAATGGGTCGTGGATGGGTATTCCAGCATGACAATGACCCAAAAACACGGCCAAGGCAACAAAGGAATGGCTCAAGATGAAGCACATTAAGGTCCTGGAGTGGCCTAGCCAGTCTCTAGACCTTAATCCCATAGAAAATATGTGGAGGGAGCTGAAGGTTCGAGTTGCCAAACGTCAGTCTCGAAACCTTAATGACTTGGAGAAGATCTGCAAAGAGGAGTGGGACAAAATCCCTCCTGAGATGTGTGCAAACCTGGTGGCCAACTACAAGAAACGTCTGACCTCTGTGATTGCCAACAAGGGTTTTGCCACCAAGTACTAAGTCATGTTTTGCAGAGGGGTCAAATACTTATTTCCCTCATTAAAATGCAAATCAATTTATAATATTTTTCACATGCGTTTTTCTGATTTTGTTGTTGTTATTCTGTCTCTCACTGTTCAAATAAACCTACCATTAAAATTATAGACTGATCATTTCTTTGTCAGTGGGCAAACGTACAAAATCAGCAGGGGATCAAATACTTTTTTCCCTCACTGTATGCTGCTGAAGAGAAGCACTCCCAGAGATTCCTCGATTGCTCAATAACAGTGATAGTGCTGTCATGTTAGAAAGGTCAATTTGGTGAATCCATTTATCCTTTTTACTTCGTATTCATCTTCAGCCAACCAGCTGGGGACCAGGTGAAATTCCTTGTTGGAGTTTGAATGAGCCTGCAAAGCACTGGGATTTATAAAATAAATGCCACATTCTCCAGATATTATGAAGATCCGGAGACCAACACACACCCCAGCCTCGAGCCCTGTGTCAGTAGAGTTATACAAACCTAGTCAGATGCGCACACATCTACCGGATTACAAGACGTTCCCCCAACTATTGCTTTAAAATAAAGGGGGGGAAATGCCACGTCTGATAATCAACACAATACGGTACCACTCTGTGGGTGGCGAAATGTGGACAGGCCAGTGAATACACTGGCCCCATAATGGGAAATTGGAATTTGCAGCGCTGGCTCATGACCACGAACAGAGATGAACACCGCGCGTTGCTCAGCAGAGAGACGTTCACTTCGGCTGTAACTGTGAACGGCCACTCGTTCAGCAAGCCGTGCCGAGCCACGAGACTACACACAAGGATGTAAAGCTGGCACTGCTGCCATATATGTACAATAACAGTGCAGAGCAAGACTCGTGGCTCATACCACAGTCACTCTGCATTATAATACCCCACTTCCTCCCTGTGCTCTATGCAGTAGGCGTGCATGTGTAACCAGATATTTATAACTCTATTGTTCAGGGGATGCGTCTTTCCTTCCCGAGTGTTTCATAACTCAGAGAATGTGGTGTTTGTGGCGATGGTGCCCTGTGGTGGTGACTGGCCAGCCTCACCACCAACTCCCAAGTCCTCACAAGCTGAGGCCTAACTGTTTAATTTCCCCCTATCCCCATCAATAGAGAGCGGCCAGGTGGCCTAGCAGGAATTGGCGGGTTATGGGTTCAATTCCGGGTTGGGGGTCGACTCGTTCAATCGTACCTCGGGTCCATCTTATGAGTACCACCTTGTGGGGAGTTCGGCAGTGGTTGTTGTACAAAGAGATTCACCTCTGCTAAAGGAATGTGGCATTTCCACCATTGGCTCTGGACTGCAAACAGAAGATGAGCACCAATGCCTCAACGCTCATTTGAGCAGTAAATCGCTCTGCCTTGACCATCAGGCTTGACCCCACTGAGACTCGCAGTGCCCTTGGCTATAAGAGCCGTCACACGCGACGTTGGGATTGCGTACCCTGCTTGCGACTATTATACGCCCCGGGCTCGTCAAGAGTGAACTTCTCCGGGGCAAACCCGTTTGCACTAGACCAGACGACTGGATGTAACGGGGTCGATATTTCACCGTGTGTTATTTTCCTCTCCCCCCCCGCAGCCCAGATAACTATCGGGACGAGGGGGCAAGTCCTGAGCAGCTCGCCCTGCTGTTGGACACTGTTGTCCTTGCCCCACCTACAGACGCACACACCTCTCAGCTCGCCGGCGGCGTACGTCACCGTTCAGGTACAACGAAGGTGGCGATGCTGCCGCGAGTGCCATCACGTGTCTCGCCGTGCGATCGCGCTTCTCGCTATGTGGCGATGAAGTCACGGGGTGCTTGGGTTGCGCAATGTCACGGTTGTTTAACTCGGCATTGACCCGTCCGGAGCGGTTTCTTCCTGAGCAGACCGGCGATGCGCGTGTGAGTTTACATTCGAAATTTCTTATACGCATCTCGGGGCACTCACATTTTTTATTTTTTTACACAAAACGAGAATACATCGGGTGGCACGGCACTAGAGCAAGCGACTCGCATTTAAAAAATAGATTGCGAGTTCAAATTCTGTTTGGGAGTTTGGCTCGGCCCATCGTCCCTCCACGAGTCGATTAAATGAGTACCACTCTGTTGGGGAAGTCAACAGTGGTGGTCCTATGGATCGACTCGCCCCCCTGTGATGAGATTGAAGGAAATGCTCACGTGAACAGGAAGTGACTTTGACTTCGTCTCGTGTCTGGAATGCGCCAGTACCTCTGTGTGTGTTTTTCTTTCTGGCGCTTATTTGTTTATCCCACTTGGTCGTTAGGAAACAACTAACGGCCTTTACAATAATAGCAGCTCTCAGCTCTCCGCGTTACGTGTTCTCCCGGGGAATGTCCTGTGCCTCCCCTTCGTAGAATGGAAACGTGCGTATTTACAGGCAGTGATCTGACCCACACACATTGTGTTGGTTATATTTATATATCGCTTGGCCCCTGATTGGTCAAACCTGAATGTGGGACAAACACCCTCTCGTGTTCTACCACTGGACCCTATGTGCCCCTACCGCATGGACTTGTATGCCACGTGTGCTGTTAGTAACAGCCATCGACTCTGCCAGCCACCAGTCATGGCTCGCAGCAAGAAGTGGCCTGGGTTTGATTCTCAACTTTGGTACCTTTTCTGTGTGAAGTTTGTCTGTTCACCTCCTGTACTGCAGTGAGTGAGTGTGTAGAGTTGGTATGCTCTCCTTTTCTGCATGGGTTTCCTCCAGTTTTTCCATTTTCCTCCCATAGCTAAATAAAAAAACACAATGTAACTGGTAATGGCCAAAAACATCCCCATGCGCAAAGAGTACCTGCGTATTACTCACTTGGGATACCCGTCGCAACAACATCATCCCGTTACTCTGTTGTGTTATACCAGTGGTTCTCAATCAGCGGGGGTGCAGACTGCGGCGGGATTGACGGGCACGAGAGGTTTCCGACATGCGCGGGGAGAGCGGCAGTGTCTGCGTTGCAGCGAAAATGCTACCGATGGCTGGTTTTCCAGCACAAAGCCTGGAGGCACCAGGTTGTTTTTCCACTGCAGAATCCGAACTGCGCCGCTAACGTCACGCGCAACGAGCGAGATGCACGTGGATCACGTGGTGACTTGCACACTTGCCCATGAATGGGGCAGGGGAAGGGTGGCTGTGGGGGCGTGGGGCCAGGTGGTCTTGATGATTGGGTGAGGTGGGGGGTGTGGGAGCACGATACCCAATAGGTTGGGACCACGGTGTTATACCCAGTTTGATGAATGCAACCACTATCAGTATACCCCACAGTGGGTAGAACATTACTGCGCCACATTAGAGCCAGCGTTTGAGTAATCCTGCGTTCGTGTCAAAGCATCGGCGACGAAATTATATCCATTGATGTGTCCCACCCGTGACCTTCCGTGCTTGAGCACTGTTGATGATGTGAAGGGCCATGTAACGTTAACCGCTCGTGTCTGCGTCACTCTCGCCTGGTCACCCGGCCGTGACGGGCGCCGTATTGATGACGCACGTCACTGTCGACCCCTGTCTTGCGTGTGCCTCAGTGTCTCAAGATATGTTTGTGTCTCTCCTTGTCTTTCAGAGTATCTCACCCCTGTTCTGTTCGGGTGGGGGGGCGTCCACATGTGGCCATTTAATGTCCATTCTCACTTCTGTCTCTCTCCATGTTACAATGTGTATGTGTCTCTCTCCAGCTCTCCCTCCCCGTGTCTCTCACCATCTCTCGCTCTCCATGTCTCTCTCATCTATGTCTTTACGTCTCTCTGTCTCTCGCTCCCTCTCCGCCTCTGTGTGTCTTTCTGTCCACGTCTCTGTTTGTCTCTCTCTGTCTGTCCCCAATGCACCTATCTCGCCGCTGTTTGCCCAGATCCGCACGTAACGTTGAGTCAGCGCCGGGGGGCCAATGACCGCTCGTGAATGCGACCTCCGTGTATGCCTCTGGCACCACCACATGTCACGTTTGGCTTGCGGAATCCGAGTGACGGCACGTGGGACTTGCGGCGGTGGGGGGTGGCGCTCCGGTTACAGGCCCCACAGTCCCACGCTACGTGCGGCGCTCCAGTGTGTTTACGGACGCCGGGTTAGAGTGACATTTGGACAGCCGTGCATAGTTAGCTGCGGTGACTCCGTCTTTATAGCAACCCGAACCTATTTTTCTTATTAAACCACAAATTACTGAATTGAGAAACACAAAATAACACCTAACAATGTTGCCCCCTACTGTGCAAAGCTTGGCAGGACCCTCCTGAAAAAGAGCCCTTTGACTCGGAGGGGAAGGCTTTTGTTGTCTATTTTGTCCTCTGCCGCGCAGGATTCGGAACCGACTCGGCACCGGCGCCTACCGTGGGATGGCCGCGCTGCTGGTGCGGCTGCCCAGGGGCCGGCACGCCGCAGTACTCACCGGGGCCTCGCGGGGGGCGGGCCGCCCCCACCGGGCCGCCCCCATCCCCGACGGGCCCCTGGCGCGCTGCTGGTTGCACGTGGCGGCAGCGGCGCGGCGGTGGCGCGCGCGCTCGGAGCGGGACGACCGCCCCGCCGTGTGGGACAACTTCGGTATCTGGGACAACCGGTTACAGAAGGAGCCCATCATGCTGCCGCCCAGCATCAAGGTGTGTGGGCATCATGAATTAATCAGGAATAATAGTAATCGTCATCGTCTAAACCCCTCCGTGACGCAGAGTACCTGGCATTGCTTCCCATTTCAACGATTCGGAGGGCATCCCCCTTGGCAGTTGTCCCTGTGCGGCACAAGCTGACTCAGCACTTGGTCTGCAAGTGGATTTTATTCTGCGAGGTAAGGGGCGATGATTGATGCCGTGTGTGTGATCCCAATTGAGTGATTTGCAGTGCCATTTTTTTTATTTGCCAAATTTCGAATTTTCCCGCTAGGACACTAACCTACCTATGGGATCTCTAATGTCTACTGTGAAGTAGATGGTGTGTATTTACTCAAAGTATTAACAAGAGCAGCTTGCCTGATTCGAATCGCGAACCTTTGCAACAAGTGGCAAACACTACCACTGGGCCATGTCACCACACTCAATAAATAATAACAGTAATGATACTTTGTAATGTATCATTTGTATTTGTTAAGCACACGGTTTTAATTATGACACCTTTTGGAGACAAGCGGGAAGGCAGCCAGAACCAGTATACTCCCACGCTCTGTGATCCTATATTGGCAAGTTTGGCCAACTCCAGCCTATTGCCACTCCCCATGTCATGTCGGTCACAGAGGTCGTTTGACCATACTTCGCCATGCAGGTTAACGTGGGTTGGTGAAGGGGAATCTACCGGTTCAGATGTCGCTGCTGGCATCTGGGACAACCGGTTGCAATTGGAGTCCATTCGGCTGCCGCCCAGCCTCGGCGTTCCGGAGTCACATGACCTTTGATTAACAATGTAAAACAATGAGAAAAATGTAAAGGCGCAACCCTGCAATTGCTCACTGGTGCCACTGCTGGTGGAAGGGCCTCCACTACAGGGAGCTCGAGAAAGCCGCTCAAGAGTGTTTTGGTCCACAGTGCGATGTATGTGGGCGGAAAGTGCTGTCACATGGTGCTCAGGTGCGTCATGTGTTATGGGGAATGGTGGCGCAGTGTTTAGCACACCGCACTACGGATCCAGCTACCTGAGGTCAATTCCCACTCGCAGCCAATACCAGCATCAGTGACGAATATCTGAATGGGTCCTGGGCCTCCAGTAGGTCAAACTTAGCCTTGAATGAGTACTTGGTGCAGTGTGTAAGCATCCCCACTGGGGAGACAAAGGTGGCTGGGCACAGTGCTGGTTACACTGTGCTGGTTACACTACCCCCTTGTGTGTCATGTTTGGCATTCGTTGGTGCTCACTAACAGTACATTGCTCCAACAGTCTTAAGGCTATACGGGGATCTTTGTCTTTTATTATGAATGTTGTGTTGGGGGTGTAGCTGTCATTGACAAGGGCTTGGGGGTGTGTACGCCCACGTAACCTCAATATAAACGCGTCTTGTTTACACACTCGTGCTGCCCCCTTGACGTGAAACCAGCCAGGTGGTTTCTACAAAGTGCGTGGGGTCTGTTTTATTGTTCCGTGACGAAATCGGCGACCGAACCGCGAACGCGGCGCAGCGAGGAATGGAAACCGCGTGTCGGTAGAAGCCGCAAACGACCGCCGAATACCACGTTTTATATTTCCAGCACGGAGCGTGTTCCCGTCGTCGTGGTTGATCTGCCAGCCAAATGACCAGCGCGCACATTGCTTCAGAGTTCACCGGCATTGGCGCAAAAAAGCATGACCATTGCTGATTAGAAACTGAATGTCGAAACCGACATGCTGCCGATATCATGTACTGTCAGGAGGAATTGTTGCTGATGGGATGTGTAATAATAAAAAAAAAATTGTGCAGATTGACTGCTATAGGAAGGAGGCGAGTTGTCCGCTTGGGTATCTTGATTTTAGAGTCGACTGTGGTTCGGTTCACGCTGCTCTCCGTGCGATTGCCGATCATTGGCCATGGCAGCGCACGGTGCTGGTTAAGTTGCATATGAAGGGAAGAGTAAAGTAGACGGGGAATATCTGCGGTGAGGCCCGGCGTTTGGGGAAAACTCTTTTCGGCACCCAGGGCGACGTGGCCCGGCGGTATCGCAGAGGTTCGCAGTTCGAATCCGGCACGCCGCCCTGGTTATTACTGCGAGTGTATGAAAACGTAAATACCACGCATCACAGTGGACTTTAAAGATCCGGTGACATCATTCGACAACAGAAGGGCCCATAGTGTGCTGGCGTCAGCGTCCAAATTTGCCAAGTTGGAGAATACACAGCAAATGACTCAATTGGGATGGCACACAGCAACATCGCCCCCTTGTAGAACTACTTTCATTATTCACGGCGGCATGAGGGCCTTCGCTATGAAGAAGGGGCATTGCCCGAACGTCGCCTATTGTATATATTTGTACTTTTAAGACCACAGGGTGTGATTGACAAACTTGTATGTATGTTGGACTTATTTCGTACCGTACGTAGCCAACCGTACTTATTGGAGGTGTGTGGCAAGGGCAACAAACTAAACGCAAAAGTCAGTTCTAAATAAATGGGTTTTCAATCTGGATTAAAAGCGTATCGCTCCAGTGGCTTCCTAATATCAGAAGGAAGAGCGTTCCAGACGGCCGCAGAAGCGCGTTTGGAAGCGCGAGTTTGTTATCCGTGCTTGTGTACCGCTGCCAAAGCAGCAGCACCAACCACTCTGCTTCCTGTTCACTCCACGCCGCTTGGTTATGTTTAGACTTGAGCAGCTGTCATTTATTCCACGCTGCCTTAATATCTCTGCCGACCCCCGGCCAGGGAACCGTCACCTGCCGATTACTGTCGGGGCTTTGGCACGCGCACTCATCAGCTCAACGAGAGCTCTCTGTTGCATCATCCATGGGCGCATCGTTAGTGCAGCCGGTTGAATTCCCCCTCGGCGTTTTCCAATGTTATTGTCAGGTGGGACTGAAGCATCACTCTGTATACATGTTGAGACTGCTTTCACCGTACGTAGCCGACCGTGCTAATCGCGGAGGTGTGGGGGGGGGGAAAGACAGCAAACTAAACATAAAAAGCAACTCTCAAAAAGATAGTTTTAGATCTCGATTTAAAAGTGCATAGCTCCAGTGGCTTCCTTAATATCGGATAAACTGTGCCACATGTACTGTGTATTGGCTGAACGTCTTATTGATAGTTTATTGCTGTTGTGTTGGGAAGGAGCTGCTTACTGCGTAAGCTGCAGGAACGCAGAGCTCCTCCTGCTGTTTGGGTCTGGTACTGCTAATGGCGGGGCTGACACAACCAGGCTTGTTAAACGATAATCGGAATCGTTTTTTTTGTAATCGGTTACCGATTATGTGAACTCATGAACCGACAATCACGATTCCGGTGGGGGGGGCGTTCGTAGGAAGCGTACCTACACTTTATCCCACGACGTCACCTGCCGATGAGGTGTGTACCTCTTTCTCCTCCTGGGTGGACATAGGGGTGGGGGGCGGGAGGGTTTGAGAAACCTCTTCCCCCATTGTTTCAACTGCCGCGCCTGGAGGAAAGAATATAACTGGTGATGTCTGGACTACAAGTCCAGTGTGCTGACCACTACAACCACTCGCTTTTGTTTCCCAGCTAAAATCGTACACACGTTACACTTGTTGCTGGAGACATTTCAAACCGGTGACCTTTTTTTTTACGGGGTGTTTCATGCGATTTATTGTTAACGCCAAAAAAACAACTGGGCTGACAATCGTTCTGAACCACAGCTGGGCCAAAGCCCAACCGGTTCGGTAGATGTTTGTGGGCGTTGGGAGTGGACGACAACCACACCTCTCACCACCTCTTCCTTCAGGGAGCTCCGGCAAATGTTGTGTCGTCGACAGCCGGTCTCCAAAGTCTGCTCTTGACAGCGTCCCACCATTGGGCCCCGCGGGCTTCCTCCTGCTCGCTGACCTCTGGGTGTCGCTCGATGGCATAGCTATGGGATGTGCAGACAGCGCGACTACTCCTGGGCCCACGGGCCAGAAGGGGTCCAGGATCCCGAGCTTGAGTAGATTTGACAGAGAAGCCGTGCCAGCCCCGACCTCTCCCGCGACGAAGCGGAGGAGCGAGAAACTTGCCACGCGATGGGTTTTCACAATGGAGCACCGCCGTAGAACGTCGTCAGCTCGTTAGTCCTCGCTCGTCCGTGCGCAGCCCGGCTAAACCATCCCGCGGTTCGGCGCGGATCACGCGGGCTCGCCCACAGAGCCGGGCGGTTGATATCTCAAAGCCCCTCCCGTTAATTCTTGAACAACCCCCTCGCGTGCGTGCGTGCGTGCAGTACGGCAAGCCGATCCCGCAGCTGAACCTGGCGCGTGTGGGCTCTGCAAGCCAGACAGGCCGGCGCTCGGCCAACGAGGACCGCTTGAGTGTGGGCGCCGTGGACGGCACGATGCTGTACTTCGCCGTGTACGACGGCCACGGGGGCGCCTACGCCGCCGAGTTCTGCGGCGCGCACATGAAGCGCTGCATCCGGTAACGACGACCGCTCCCCTCCGCCATACCCAGCACCTGATCCTGGGGAGGGCGGGGTGGGGTGGGCCCTGGTACCGACTGCTCCCCCCTTTAGAACCCTAAGTTCATGCAGTAGGGGGCGATCACTGCTGTGTATATAGCACCATTGAGTAATTTGCGGTGTAACTTTTCTAAATTTGGATCCGGATGCCCGGCACACATTGGCCAACTCGTTCAGATGTTAACTACCTCGCCGTGGTCGTGTGGAAATCGTGTGGATTTTTCTCCGGGTCCTCCAGTTTTTCCCTCCTGTATTTAGTATAAACACGCATTTAAAATATTTGGTTGCCAAAGATTTCCACATGATAAGTCACTATGTTGAGCTATCATTTGAGACAAGGTCACTTCTGAAAAAGAGTAGGTCTTACCTGGTAAAATAAAACATCGTTTCTCGCTTAGTTTTTAGTTTAATGCTCATTGCCAAGCAGATGGCACATATCTGTATAAATACACACCGTATTATTTACCGGGGCAGCCTGTTAGATCCAAACCGCGGACCGATGCTGAGGCCCGCGTGTGCGCGACGCAGGAACCTGGTGGAGCAGGAGGAGGACCTGCAGGTGGTGCTGCGCCGGGCGTTCCTGCAGGTGAACGAGGAGTTCACGCTCGCGGCCCGTGCGCCCGGCAACGGTGAGGAGGAGCCACCTCGCGGCGGGCCCCGCTCGTCACACGGGCTCCGGACGCAGTCATTCGAATGGCAACAACAATAATGTCTGCGTTTATACGGAAAATCAAGTTGCCTTGCGTCGCAAATCGACGGATGTGGTTGATTTGACGTCGCCGATATTCTTACGTTAATTCACGTATCCGTGCGAAATTGACTCTGGCGACAGAGGCGCTGCTTCCGTGCGGCACCACGGCCACGGTAGCGCTGCTGCGCGACGGCGTGGAGCTGGTGGTGGGCAGCGTGGGGGACAGCCGCGCCATCCTGTGCCGACGCGGGTTGTCGCGCAAGCTCACCGAGGACCACACGCCCGAGCGCCGTGACGAGAAGGAGAGGTACCGCTTCCCCCCACCTCTCCACCGCTGCTCCCGCCCTCTCCGACGGCCACCCTCCTTCTGGCCATTCCTGTAGTAGAGCAAGTCCGTCGCGAAGGAAGACGCTGCTGTTGCTGTGTTTGACAGGCACAGGCTGCTGCGGTTTCACACTGAGGGGGCGATGTTGCACCTGCACACTTTAGTAATTGGCGGGTAATTTTGGGATTTTGCCAAAAATTTGCACAGTGAAGCCAGCCCACGGGCCTGCTGTTTTCGAATGACATCAGGATCTGTAACGTCCAGGTTAAGCTTGAAACCAAACCAAATGCGATGTTGTTTTTTTTGTGCAGACTGAGCTGAGACTTCCAACTAGCTGCACGTAAGAAACCAGTTTAATCGTGGGCGGTTTCCTGGATTTGAACTCAGGTTCTCAGCAGTGCTGGGCCGGCGCTGTGACACAGTGCAAGCTGCAAGAAATAACAATTTTGAGAAATAGATTGTGTTTGGAAGTCTGGCAGCTGGGAGGAAAATGTTTTTCATTTTGGGCAGAGACCACATTTCCTGGATCAAGAGTGCCGGTTTATCCGGCTGGGGCCTCTGGGCGCGCTGTTTGTCCTGGGCTCGGAGGGTTTGTGTGAAATCGGTGATGTCATTGCAAAGCAAGCCGAATGCCTAAGCAGAAGAAATTAAATGACAGATTGTGACACGGACACACATGCGCATGCGTGTATATGTAACGTGTGCGCGTGTGCGGGACAGCCGGGCTCCGTCTGTTACGCTGGGGAGTAGAAATAACCCAGCAACCCCGGCCTTCCCGGGAACTGAACCGGTAATAACATTGGCAATTGTGAGCATGGGCCCAAAGACCCAAGATGTCAAGTGGCCAGCAACAAACGGCACCATCGCAGTTGTAATAGACAAGAGTGTATAACTCTTTTGAATCGAGCAAAGTTATGATAAGAGCTTGCGACAAGAGACGATGATAGAAGGGATTCTAGAGTGGAGCAGTGCGTGGGAAGAAGCAGAAAGGTAATGCGAATCGGCTCATCGTCCCTCCGGGGTTGTTAAAACGAGTACCACTTTGTGCGAAAGTCGACAGCGGTTATTCTATGGAGAGACTCCGCCCCCACCATAAGAATGTGCAATTTTCACCGCTGGCTCTGCAGGGCTGTAAACAGGAGGTGAGCACAAATGGTTCAACGTTCATTTGAGCAGCTGGAGATCACTTGGACTCTGATAGATGGATGGATGGGAGATCTCTTTCCTCCCCTCTCGCTTTGTGTTACCGTGGCGGCGCAGGATCCAGAAGTGCGGTGGCTTCATCGCGTGGACGAGCCTGGGCCAACCGCACGTCAACGGGCGCCTCGCCATGACGCGCAGCATCGGCGACATCGCCCTCAAGGCCGTGGGCGTCACGGCCGAGCCGGACACGCGCCGCATCATGGTCGCCGCACGCACGCACACACGCACGCACACCGCACGCACGCACGCACGCACACCGCACGCACGCACGCACGCACACACACCGCACACACGCACGCACACACACGCACGCACACCGCACGCACGCACACCGCACGCACGCACGTATGCATGAGCGCACGCACTACGTATACACTGGGAAAAAAACATTCAACACGTTCGTCAATAAGCAATGGCCCTTTGTCACAACATGTAAAATGTGCTATGATGAAGGGCTGCCACACACGACCTGCCTATGGACTCTGTGGAGGACTCATTGTACTCCTGGGTGGACAGAGGACGGGGTGGTGGAGGGGGCGATGCAGGGGGTTTAGAAATTTGCAGTATTGTTTCACCTGCTGCGCCGGGAGATTGAATGGAATCGGCGACCTCTGAATTGCAATTCCACTTTGCTGCTCACCCTTCCAACCGCTGTGGCAGCTCCCACCTCCAGCTGGAGGACTGGAGGAGGCCGTGACTCGTAGGCTTGTGGCGATGCGGGCGACGCTACGTCGTACGGTCTACGAGAGTCCCGTCGCGGTTGTCGGTGGTTATTTTTGTTTCACGGCTGGCAAAAATTCACACTTTTTTTTCCCCGCTGTAGCTGAAACACGGGGACGACAGCTTCCTGGTGCTGACGACAGACGGCATCAACGTCATCATGAACAGCCAGGAGATCTGCAACATCGTGAGCCAGTGCAACGAGCCCTCCGAGGCTGCTCAGCTGGTCGGTGAACAGGTACGGCACGAGCGTCAGCCACCCGGAAGCGCGGACACTAAACTAAAAAAAAATATTTTAAACCATAAACTATTTAAATTTTACTTTACCTGGTATAAGGCCCCCTGAGCTATTTAGCTCTTTTTCAGAAGCAACTTGGCTAAAAATGATAGCTCAACGAAGTGGCTTATCGCGTGGAAATGTATAGCAGCCAAATACTATTAAATGCGTTTTTATAAATGTGGAGGGAAAAACCGGAGGACCCCGAGAAAAATACACGCGGCCATGGGGACAGAGACATGCAAACTCCAAATATACAGCAGGTGTCGGGGTTGGGATTGAACCTACAACCTCCTGTATACCAGGTGAGATGGCTAATATCTCAACACTGCTGCTGGCTCGGCATCTCTCTGGAACTGAATTGGTGGCCCCTGACCCCCGTGCCTGAGTGTTGCTGCTGCGCAGCTGAATAATGTCGAGTTCCATTGTTTATGTAATCTATCACTCTATAGATGACATGCTCCATTGTCAAAATAATCAGATATTATGAATATCGTTGGGGGCAGAAGGTGGGAGGAGGGGGGGGGGGGGAAACGTGTGACCTCTTTATCCACGCGTGTCACTGGACGGGAGGTGAATGGATATAGTCAGCAGGGTGTCTGTTATGCGGGCCTTCCTTTTTAAAGAGGCCGAGTAATCAACCACAGAAAAGTCGCCCTGTGGCCGCACAGGGACCGCTTTCACTGGGGTTGCCCTGTCCAATTGTTTCCGAGGAGCTGTGACGATGCAAGTCACTTGTCGCGTGTCAAGCGCCCTGAGCCGCCCCGGCGCAAAGGAAGGCACTTTATCGACAACAATTCGCTCGCTCACCGCTGTTATGACGATGATGTTGCTGCTGCTCCTCGTCTCGCTGTGACACGCGCCGTGTCCCCTGCGGCGGTGTGCATGACGCAGGCCATGCAGTACGGCTCGGAGGACAACACGACGGTCGTGGTGGTGCCGTTCGGCGCGTGGGGCAAACACAAGGGCGCCGAGGACAGCTACTCGGTGGGGCGTACGTTCACCTCCAGCTGGCGCTGGGCGTGACGCCGCCGCCAGGCACCAGGCACCCAGCATCCCCCCCACGGCTCACAAGTGGAGGGGAGGGCGGGGGGCGCCTTTTTAGAATTCCCCCAGGGCTCACGTAGTGTTGAAGGGAAGTCGCCGTTTAACGGAGTTTTTAAAATATCGTCTGTTTCCCCGAGTGATTTTTTTTTTTAAATCCAGGACAATTTTCCTGTACGTGCTCTGTGTAAATATAAAACGTCGCACTTTTTACATGTGATTTAATTTTGCTGCTTGTTCTCAAACAGAAGCTCCATTTTTTTGTTGTTTACGAGCCGGAGGTCGGAGCCATGGCGCTGTGAACTCTGCGATCTGGGTTCAATTCCCTGCCAGTACTGGCATCGGGGGCGAGCGATATCTCAACCGGCCCGCACTGACCAGCACGGCGATGTATGTTCAAATGACCATCGTCAAAGGCAAAGCGTGGGGAGGCCTTCATCCAGCAGTAAATTGATAACGGAATGAAAACCGTATATTATTGGCTAATTTAATTATCAAAAGCGGCCAAATTCGCAACGGTCACAGAGGTCATTGGGCACGAAAAATCTCTTCGATAAGACCTCGTAAAACAGCTGGCAAAATCGTCACGGTCATCTAAATGGCAGGGGCGGCTGTTACGTCAGTGGTGGTAGTTTGTACAAAAGTGCCGTGAGCGATGCAGTACTAAGGGACGGTTCTCTTTTCAATTACCAGTTCACCAAATAAATTAATACATTTCAGAATGGGGGCGGCGAAACAGCGGCTTCCGGGTGCTGCGAGTGCGGCTCACTGTATGCGCAGATGCGTTGAAACTTCTCGGAGCAACTTTAATTGAAACAGGAAAAAAAATCTGCGGAAGCGGCCCGGGTCACTCGCCCCTTGGCAGCAAAGCCAGACGCAAGTACTCTGGGGGCGCTCTCACCGATTTCCAAATTTAAGAACTCCATTTCCACAGCAGTGCGAGAGAACCGGCCACGTGGCCCGCTCGGCGCACGCACCCCCGGTGTGTCTGTCGCTAGCGCCGGAGAGACATGTTCTAGTGCACGCGTGTCTTGTGGCGCCCGGCCCCATTGAAGGTGTTGGTTTGGCGTAGGGCAGCGACGGGCAACCCAGACGAGTCGGTGGGCCACACGAGCGGCCCTCCACCTCAGTGGGCCACGAGCTTGACATCGTGCTTGTCCGCTAATCGTGACCCCACCGCTTGCCGCTAGACACGCCGAGACCAGGCCACCATGAGGGGCTCCACGTGCCGCAGGTTGCCCATCGCTGGCGCTGCGCCGGGAGGTTTGGCTACCCCTGGTCCCGACCGTGAACGTGTGCCGCGGGAGCCGACGGAGCCACTGTACCTCGGGGCACATTGACAACCCCGACGCACGAACACTCCGAAGCACAGCTGCGAGTTGTATAGGTGGCATTTAAATATGCAAATTATACAAAACTGTAACCGAGCAGTTAATTCATGCGTGGCTTCACGGGGTTAGGCGGAGCGTTGAGAAGAAACGCTCAACGGGCGGCCCACACTCGCGTTACAAGCGGACGCGTTCAGTTCCGAATGCGTTAACCCTTCTTAAAGCGTACCGTACAGTGTTTATATATTCTGATGTGTTTGTACGGTAACAGGATAGTTGGCGCGTTGTACGCCGTCTTGAGCCGGCTGCGTGTGCACGATGTAAATAGTGACGCCGTGTCGTGGCCGTGGCGTTCGGGCGTAGTCGGCGTGCGGCTCCGCGGGCTCGCCTCGCAGCAGCCGAAACTTTTGTAAATATCCGTCTTGGTTGTGGTTGACGATGCTGGCCACGCCCGGTGACAATCGTTGTAATCCACGTTGTACATTAGCCGCAGGAAGTCGCACGGCAGCATCGCTGTACGTACTTTAGTGTCAAGGCCAGGCTGCAGATCCCTGCACCTCTGCAAGGGACACGCGGTCAATCGGTTCTCTTAACAGCTGTGAAAACTATTTAACAGAGAACCAATTAAGACTTAATACGTTTGGGGGGCAACCACACGTTCACACAGCTCAGTCACTGCAAGAGGGCCCTCGCAATGGCACAAGTGGCTGAGCGCATTGCAATTTGGTACGCAGTGTTGCTAGGTTGACAAGATTCCCCCCCTCTAGTTGCCCGATTAGTGTGAATAGGATGTTAGTAATTATAGATGAATATTGTTTGCAGGCTGTGTTTTAAGTGGTAGGCCTAGGGTTGCAACCTGTCCGGGTGTGACCCGGGCACCCCAGGAATTAGCACCTGTGTTCGGGTGGCAGTAGGATTTAATTTGTGCCAAGATCTGGAAGGGGGGGAGGGGTGTTGCCGTGTTGGGCTTCACTGCAGGATGTTGCACACTTCTGCTAGACTTAGGCTGACCGAGAAATCCATCTGGGTTTGTCCTGCGGACGAGGCTGGCCCCATGCGGTTGTGGGCAGTGTGAAGCGAAGTTGCGGGCCCAGTGTTCCTGTGCCCGGTTGAACAACGATTACCTTGCTGCAATGGAAACCGCAAATCATCTCCCATTGTGACCGGCCCGCCACTATGGTTCACAAACTTGTATCCCCTGTGTGTCTGCCCGACCCTTATTCTTGATTTACGTACTGATCTCGTTTATTTATTCACGTGAAATGTAGATGTATGTACATTGTAGACCCGTGTTTATAGGCGTCCGTGTACATTTTTTACTGTAAGCAACAGATGGAGCACTTTTCCTCTGTCTAATGTCGCCGCCGTTGCGATCTGTGAGTGGCACTCGTGGGCGGCTGAGCGGAGAGCAAGATGCTGGTGGAAGTGATCGGGCTGGAAAGTTACAGCAGTGACTTGGCCTCTACGTGAAACAAAGTCTGGAGACGCGCTGTGCAAATCATCGATTCATCTCCATTCTAAAAGCTCGCACTGTGCGCTGCATTGAGCGGTGTGCTTACACATTTATTTGGTTGGATTCCCAAAGGCTCGCTTGCTGGTAATGGGGTTCCTATTATTGCAAGTAACTGGTTGGCTGCGGCACTCGGCACAATGTAAAAAATAATCGGTGATAATCGCGAATAAAATCGTGATAATTCATTGGATTACAACGGTGGCCTGGGGCATGGCGGGGGGGGGGGTTCAATTTCTCCCCCTCCCCCCACCCAGTGAAGGAGGAGCGCGCACAGGGGAGCTAATTCTACCCTGTACTTGAAGTGGCCTCTGCCACTTTCTGTCGGCCTCAGCCGAGCCACGTGTCCACGGCAGCCGCTACGCACGCACCCGTGATCCATGACCAGCGGTGGTGGCGGCGCGCACGCACGCGTGTCGGTATGCGCGTTGGCGGCGCCACTGCACGGCCCGAGGGCACCTGAGCGACCTCGTACAACCATGGGCCCAGCTGCTGCCCTTGGGAGTTTGCCTCTCGTTTTTCGTTGTGTACAGTACTCGGTTTACAGTACTCGGTTTGGATCGCACGCGGCAGCAGTCGTTGCTGCTCCCTGCTGCAAACTCACGCCCTCTCGCAGGCCAGGTGCCGAGCCAGCTTGTGCCGCACAGGGACAGCTGCTGCCGTGGGTCCCCGAAGCAAAACCACTCGTGAATCATCGCCCCCTACTGGCAGAATAACGCCCGCTCGCAAGCCAGGTGCCGAGCCAGCTTTTAGCTTGTCGCACAGGGACAGCTACCACTGCGGGTCCCCTAAGCAAAACCACTCGTGAATCATCGCCCCCTACTGGCAGAATAACGCCCGCTCGTAAGCCAGGTGCCAAGCCAGATTGTAGCTTGCGTCGCACAGGGACAGCTACCACTGCGGGTGCCCTAAGCAAAACCACATGGCAATCATTGGCCTCCCCCCCCCCCCCCTTACTGGCAAACTCACGCCCGCTCGCAGGCCAGGTGCCAGAGTCACCTTGTGCCACGCAGGGATGGCTGCCACTGGGTGTGCCCTTTCGAGACGTGTCGAGGTGAGAAGTGATGCGAATTCGCTCGACGCGTGTGAAGAAACGCTCTGGAGACGCCGCGTCATCATCTGCAGAACCGACGCCGAGGATGACTTTGCATCGTGTGTCGGGTGGTGCTTTCGGTTCGGCGAGACGGAACTGGATGCACTTTTTGAGGACTGCTGTGGGGTTGTCTTAAGGCATCGTTTTTGGTGGCCCTGGAATTAAACACGAGTCGCGTCACGATGCAAGACGACGGTGTCGGCATGCATTGTGGGTTTTTGTTTTATCCCCATTCACGGCATGTGATTTTTTTATTATTACTGCGTTGGAACCCGGATCGTAGTGCATTGTTTGAGGTTATTATTGCGCGAGTTCTGTAATGTTTGCGTGGCTTCGTTGAGTGCGATACTCAAGTGTGCTGTAGGTTCTGTTGCAATATGGTTTACTCACTATCCATTAAACACGTACAGTATTCGTATTTATGCAATTGAGTCTATCTCACTGATAAATGTACGATCGTAACACCATGGGTGGGTTGGTAGGGTTTTTTTTATAAAATATTAATTTTGCTCATTCCACGTTGGAAAATGTTGGAAGTTTAAGTAACTCCCAGCCTTTATCAATCCAGTGCTGGATGAAGACTTTGCCGCACCACTTTTCCAATCCACTGCTGGATGAGGGTCTCCACACCCAAAAGACTGGGTAGTGGGGTCGTATGCCCATACATCATGTAGAGACGCGGGAGCTGAAGTACAGTGGAATACAGAGTGCTTCAAATAAATGGTAACGCTTCTGAGTTTACCACGAGAAATGTGCTGCTGCCTCCGGGCTCTGGAGATCACCTGGAGAAGATTCCAGGCCACGCGTGGACAACGATGACGAACAAGTGGAGACTGACTTTTTTTTTTAAAGCTATTAACATTACACTTATGTTACAATATATTCTTCGTTCTTTTTTTTCCATTAAAAACGATAGTCCCATATAACTTAACATTTATTGAAGCACTCCTCTGCTTCCTGCGATGTGCCGTCACAGCCCGATGACAGCATGTTTGTGCATGGTGGTCACCCATCCAAAGCACACACCAGGCTCCAACCTGCTGAGCTACCGAGGTTTGACGGAATTTATGTGCGTTCCGGGTGACTCGTGTCGTGGGATTCCGCCCCTTTTTGAGGAATCGGCGGTCCCAGTTTAGGCAGTGGCTGCACAGAGGTTCCACGTTCGATATGTGCAGAGGGATGCCTGCAGGAACGACGATGCAAAAACTCACCAACCCCCCCCCCCGCCCCTCTCCAAGAAAAAAAATATTTGGTGTAACATCCCAATGCTTGGCGAACCTGAATAAAAAGTTGAGATTCGGCGGGACTTTCCTGGCTAAACAAGCATTCATAATAAATAAAAAATAACAAAATAACCTCGGGGATTCTCAGCCAACGTGACACCACCGTCACCTCCCGCGAGGGCCTTTAATCGCCACCTCCCGTTGCTGCACGCGTGACCTACGCGCGTCCCGCGTGGGCTGATGACGACGTCGGCGACGATTCACAAACAACACCGCGCCCTGGCCTGGTTCCCGAACAGCAGCACCGGCACGCAGCGAACACCCCCGGGGCAAGGAGCTCGAGGCTCGCTGCTGGCGTGGTGCCCTGTAACAACAGCGGTTTGTCCTTTGGATAGACTCGCCTCCGCCGTAGGAATGTGGAATTTTCCACCACGGACTCGGGGCTGTAAACGGGTGATGAGCACCACCTCGTCGATGCTCGCTTTTGACAAACAACGTGTGTGGTGGTGATGCTGCTCCTCCTCCGTTGGTGACGGTGAGTGCAGAGACGACTCAACTCTTTCCGTGTCAATAACACTGCCCCAAGAAGCCGAGGCTTGGAACAATGCCATCCTCTTCCCCTAGAGTAACAAAGGGTGGTCACTCAAACCCTCTCGATGTGCTGGAGTGGGTGGCGGGGATCGCCTCTTGCCCGAGGGATCGCCTATTGAATTACTTAGAGCAGGGAGTCGGAAACCTTTCAAAGAAGAGGCAGTTTTGTTTTGTGTCTTTGGACAAAATTGTTTGAGAGCCGCATCACACACACACAGAGCTACTTGTACACAAACACAGCAGCAGGTATATAGCAGATGACAAACACATTCTGACTTTAAAAATATAAGTGATGGAATAAACTGTTTTATTTAGTTAATTCCCGCCCCTTAATATATTCTTTAACAATACAGTTTGACTGTTGTACATTTTTGTTGTCGCCAAGATATTGCATAGTGACCCATTCCCAGCCATATTTAACAAATTACCTTTTACATTAAATGACGTTACAGATTTCATTTTTATTTTATTTTAACGGATGTCTGCAAGGGGTGCAGACAAATAACCGCATGCGGCTCCGGACAGGGCCGTATTATCCAATAGGCACAGTGCCTACGAAAACTAAAGGCCATACGAAAAACTATTTTGACCATGTTTTTGTTGTATGATCAGAAAAACGTTTTTAAAACCAAAGATCTCTTCCTGAATAATTATATTTCTGTAGCAAGTATAGGCACAGTGTATATACTAAGAGGCATACTCATTTCGATGTCAATCGTTTTTCATAAGGTGAGAGACAAATCAACACTGGAGATGAACCTTTCGAGATTTTTTTTCATTGAAAATGAGCAGTATATATTTTTGCACAATCAAGCGAGTGACTTCTGCGGTAATAGTAACATGGGGCAGCAACAATACCACCTGGATAACTGTATGACTAAAGGCCTACGAAACAGAAGTGCCGAGGGCCTACAACAGGGGTGGGGAACCTTTTTTTCTGCCAAGGGCTATTTGCATATTTAGAACATCATTAACGGGCCATACAAGATTATCAACTTAAAAATTTCCCTGTTATATTTGGTCAAACATTTTATTAACTCACCCCTAATGCGATGGCTGGAACTGCTTCTCTCTGGTGAGGCGTGTGATGATGTTAGCTGGTATTGATGATGTTGCTACTCGAAACTGCTTTTCCAGGTTTGCTCCTAGATTTATTGAATTTCGAGTCCCGCCTGCGGTTGCCTTGGCAGGGCCAGAGACCAAATGACTTCGCGGCCTCATACACCCCTGGCCTACAAGAACCTTAATCCGTCGCTTTTCCGACCCCCTTTGAACTTTAGACCATCGGATGTTTGGTCACCAAGTGTCGGGAGTCGGGGGGCCTGTAGTGACACAACAGTGGCGGCAGGTGGCGCTGGCATTGCGCGAGTGGCGGAGACATCACGGCGGTGTGGAGGGAGGAGGGGGGATCGTCCCTCCGACTCCAGTTATGAAACAACAAAGAGACGAGATGTGAGAGTCAACATTTCTAATGGACCTGAAGTGTGCCGCGTGAGCTTTATTGTTGGGAAGCAACCGAGTTCATGAATGCGCGCACATTGGGTTTAACGATTTCACATCGCATCCCTTTTCGGTCCAGAGAGAACATTCTCAGCCTGGGTGAGCTCAGAGGAACCCTCTACAACAGATGCCCCCCCCCCCCCACAGTGCTAGAGAGACGTCGAGCACCGCTCGAGTGAAGGGGATGTGGACCCCCCCCCGCCCACAGTGACCCCTCCAAATGCCCCCCCGAAATGTACCCGGACCCCCCCCCCCGAATCAAAACCGCCATCTCATCGTCTCGAAGCACACGTCCACTGACGTGTCTGCGTTTACGGGGTCTGTTACATTGTTTTCCTATACAGTAGTTACATCTTGGGCTACCTTCAAGTCATTTGGAAGACCTCAGAATATCGTTTTTGAGTAGACGTTTTGCTAATGTGGACTACATTTCACTAACGCGTGTAAATGTGGAGGCCTGCAGCCCTTGTTTGGTGGCTCATAGCTGTGAGGATTTACCGTACAGCAGGGGTCCCCAACCAGGCCGCACAGCAGCAGGAGGTGAGAGCGGTGAGTCCACACGTGGCCCACTCACATTGTTTTATTATTCACCACTTCCGTCCGCGCCTCTTTCCCACACTGCGCACTTGTCTCAGTCACAGTGTTGGTAAGCCCACAAGCTCTAACCCTAGTAGCCACAATGAGTAAGCCCACAAGCTAACCCCTAGTAGCCACAATGAGTAAGCCCACAAGCTGACTCCTAGTAGCCACAATGAGTAAGCCCACAAGTTCTAACCCCCTAGTAGCCACAATGAGTAAGCCCACAAGCTCTAACCCCTAGTAGCCACAATGAGTAAGCCCACAAGCTGACTCCTAGTAGCCACAATGAGTAAGCCCATAAGCTCTAACCCCTAGTAGCCACAATGAGTAAGCCCCACAAGCTAACCCCTAGTAGCCACAATGAGTAAGACCACAAGCTCTAACCCCTTGTAGCCACAATGAGTAAGCCCACAAGCTAACCCCTAGTAGCCACAATGAGTAAGCCCACAAGCTGACTCCTAGTAGCCACAATGAGTAAGCCCACAAGCTCTAACCCCTAGTAGCCACAATGAGTAAGCCCACAAGCTGACTCCTAGTAGCCACAATGAGTAAGCCCACAAGCTCTAACCCCTAGTAGCCACAATGAGTAAGACCACAAGCTAACCCCTAGTAGCCACAGTGAGTAAGCCCACAAGCTGACTCCTAGTAGCCACAATGAGTAAGCCCACAAGCTCTAACCCCTAGTAGCCACAATGAGTAAGCCCACAAGCTGACTCCTAGTAGCCACAATGAGTAAGCCCACAAGCTCTAACCCCCTAGTAGCCACAATGAGTAAGCCCACAAGCTCTAACCCCTAGTAGCCACAATGAGTAAGACCACAAGCTAACCCCTAGTAGCCACAATGAGTAAGCCCACCAGCTCTAACCCCTAGTAGCCACAATGAGTAAGCCCACAAGCTGACTCCTAGTAGCCACAATGAGTAAGCCCATAAGCTCTAACCCCTAGTAGCCACAATGAGTAAGCCCACAAGCTCTAACCCCTAGTAGCCACAATGAGTAAGCCCATAAGCTCTAACCCCTAGTAGCCACAATGAGTAAGCCCACAAGCTCTAACCCCTAGTAGCCACAATGAGTAAGCCCACAAGCTAATCCCTAGTAGCCACAGTGAGTAAGCCCACAAGCTCTAACCCCTAGTAGCCACAATGAGTAAACCCACAAACTAACCCCTAGTAGCCACAGTGAGTAAGCCCACAAGCTAACCCCTAGTAGCCACAATGAGTAAAAAACAAACGTCGCTGGATAGCTTCTTTGAAAAAGGGGAAAAGACCCAATGATGACCCCCCCCCCAACCCGGTCCGTGAAAAAATTGTCTTCCACGAAACCGGTCCCTGGTGCCAAAAAGGTTGTGAACCGCTGCTGTACAATAAGTTGTCCGATGGACAATTCCCCCCCCCCCCCGCTATTGCAATGTGGACTTGCCACCCCTGGCTCTGCAGGGCTGTAAAGACGCACCAGCCATGCGTCAGTGCTCATGCGAACTGGAAGTCACTCGCACGTTGGGGCTGAGTTAGAATGTGTGGTTGTCAATCTGGAAATCTGGCCTGGGCTTTACCTGGTAAGATAAAATAATTTGTTTCGTTTTATTTGTATCTATATATTTTTGAAGTGCTTTGTTTACATTGCCTATACTTTGCACTCCTGTCGTGTTTGTAAACTGTTTGTTGTTGTAACGTTGTGACCTGCCCCCTTACTGGACATCTGTGAAAAAAGAGCTTTACAGCTCATCGGATTCCTTTCGATATGAAATAAACATTCTGATTTATTGAGACGGCAACCTCCTTTGGGGGCAATGGAGAAGAACAACAGAGGGAGACGCCTGGCAGAGGGACACAGCCCAGAAAACACAACCATTGACAGGGATTGCTTTCTGTTCAACCAATGCGTCTGCAATTATGTCTGTCGGGGGGGATGTGTGGGGGAAGAAAAAAAACACTTGTATTTATTTTTACGCGTAGAGACGAGATATGGGACGGGGGAGAGTATGCCCGCGTAAGTCTACCTCGGGTCAGATGTTGAAGTTGCCAAAGGAATTGGATCGTCAGTAGCGGTGGACGGGTAAGTTGGGTGGGAGACTCAACATTGACCGTCGAAGTGAACAGAGGAGCATCGCGGCCACGGAAATAGTTTCCATCAGTGCGTGCGACCGCTGCTACCAGCTGTGATAATTACATATATATGTAATCATCACCTATGTAATCATCACAGCTGGTGAGTGTTATTTTTTTAATTGTTCATGCCTAAAAAGAATAGAAAATGGCTATTATTCCCCAAAAACTTTGCTTTTGTGACCAGGACTTTACGTGAAGGAATGACACAAATGCACATCACGTAATAATAAAGGTTTTTGGGTTAGATCGCGTTATTTCCAAATGTGTTGAAAGCCTCCACCACCCGACACGGCCAATCAGTAAAAAAGTGTCACGTTGACAAAAGACAAATAGTTCACCGTTGTGTTGAAGAGTGAATCCACAACATTAACCATTTTTTGAGTTAGTACGACGTTTCGCTGGTAATTACATCCAGCAGCATCGGGCGATTTGCCAGAATGGTGAAGCCCTCCACCTGCTCCCGTTCTTAAATAGAGCCGCAAGGTGACGTCATCAACTAACCCGATCCGGTGCAGAGATCGGAGGCGGAGAGGGAGGGGGGGACTTTACACACCCGTGGGCTAAAGTAGTGAACGATTTTTCTTTTG